TGCATTATGAATTGTAGAAAGAGAAAAGTCACATATTCCAATTCAAAAAAAAAGTCACACTGCGGAGGCAGTTACCATTTCCTGTGCCTTCAAAATATGTGCTCATTGCAATATATGCTTCAATTTTTGTTTGTTCGTGTCGTCTGGCAAACACTAGATGTATCTGTAATAAGATAACATCAATTTGAACTTTCTTGCATCGATGACTTTCGCACTTGGGTTGAGTTGAAAGCCTCATACACACACCAATCTCTCGCCGCACAAAAATCATCCACAGCTAAATTGAAAAATTGACACCAACAGTTTACGGAAATTACACAAACAACAACCCGTACTCCGCCGTTCAATGACCCATTTGATGCACAGATGATGACAATGCTTCGAGTCATTGACGGTGTTTCTATCGGAATCTAGATGAAATATTCGAAACAAATGTACATTTTATACATTTTTCTGAGGAAATTCAAGTTTGCACACACTTGAGATTAAAGTTTTCCCGAGCTACTTTTTTTCTTCAGTTAATTTGCTTTTTCTTGGCTTTTCTGAAACAAATTTAAATTCTCTTCTTGCTCTTTTTGTGCTCTAAAATGAACTTTTCTTACAACTGAACTTTTGTTAGAATTTTTCTTTCGCAAATAAACGTTTGTTACACTTTTTTGCTGTTGTGAGAGTTGATTTTTCCTCTAAAAAATTATTTTCCTTTCGAAAAAAATCATTTTTCCACAAAAAGGTTTATTTCTTCTTTAAAAAAAAACTTTGTTCTTCTCAAAAGAAGTTCGTTCTTCGAGAAAAAAAAGTTAGTTCCTCTTCATTTCCATACAAAGTTATGCATTTCCACATGAATCTTAAATGATTCGAGCTCAAAAATGTGAGAATTTTGTCTCAAATTCGAAAAAACTACCCATTGTGAATGACTCGACTTAAAATTACACAGCAAATAATTAAAATTGGAAGCATTTTTTTCATAATTAATTTGGGAAAATGCGAATTGCGATACATTTCCAATGACGTTTTTTTTTCTGGGAGGGAATTTGAGGCCAAACGCAAAAGAAGACAAATTTGAAGTTACTTTAATTTGATATACGATATTTTTTGCTGTCTAATATACAGCTAAAAAAAACGTTAAAAGCGTCTCTGTCCCACTTGAGATCCGTGTGTACATTAAAGTTTTTCGGATGTGAGCGATGGAAAATGCATTAATCAAAAGTGACTCGTTCAGTAAACGGCGGCATTTTTCAAATAACGAGCGAAAAAGTAGATGCTTGAAAAAAACGTCTTTGCAGAGCAGCAAAAAAAAATCTTTGCGAGAAAAGTAGAAAAAAAACGAATAACTAAAGTGAAGCGCGACGAGCGTGCAATGCCATGAACTTGTTTTTGTGAAGGAGGAACAATGCAAATTGTGGCGAACGCACGACGCAGCACAACAACAACATCGAGTACAAAAATAATGCATCCAAGATATTTGTTTCAAAGATATAAATAACAAGAGTATAATAACTGCGTAGCGAAGTCATCGTCTGCAAAGCTGCGGTGCGTTTATCATTACGAAAATGGGGATTTAACAAAGACTCTTCTCTCGGTTTTTATTTTTCCTTTTTTTTGAGAATACGAAAAATTCTTCGCGCAACAAAGGTTTATTGTGATATTGGCAATGCTCTGAGCGCACACACACCAAATATCAATTTATTCGATAAAAATCTAGGAAAAATGTGAAACGGCGCGCAGTTGGAATTAGGTTGTATGTACTACTTTACTACACATACATCTCGTATGTGTTTGCAATTGCAAATCGCTTGGATCGCGCGCGCGTATATTCTTGGACTAGTTTTAATGATGAATTACAGATGGAAAAACTCGTTCCCGTTTTTGTTGTTGCTGCCGCCACTGCTGTTGTTGTTGGCGACTTTTTTTCCTACGACTACTACTCTAGTCTTCTATAAAGTGAGAGAGAGAGAGAGAGAGAGAGAGAGAGAGAGAGAGACTTTGACACTTTTCAAAGTGAATTGATGGTCAAGATATGTTCTTGATGTGCAATTGCATCGCATTTTGAATTATGATGAGCACATCATGATGTTTTGATATGGCGAACCTTGAAAAGAAAATGCTGCTTTTATCAACAACCCAATGTGAAATGGGTGCGCGCAGCATTGCACTGATGATGATGGTAATTCGATTGGAGAGTGGAAAACGTGCACGTTTTAACTGGCAAACATATCAATTTGCTTTGGAAAGAGTCGATGGCTCTTCTGATTCTTCTGCGCGAGCGGAGTGCGCGTGCGTTGCGAGAAACAGAAACGAGTTACGTATGAATCCGATCGCTTCACGTTTTGTGAGATATGGAGGCATGTGTCCATTTCAATTGACGAACGAGCGCGAGCGCGATCGCGACCGGCCATTTTAATTCTTCGAATTAACGAGATAGATGTTATTTTGATATTGTTTGATTGTTGCTTTCCTCGTGAGTAATAATGGCCAGCGAGAATGTATGTGTTTGTGCGAGAAAGAGAGATAGAGCAAGCGGAGGAGAAAAGAAATGGCTAGAGCCTAGAAGATGAGAGACAGCAAGATCCGGAACCAGACAGAGAGATTAAAAGAACCAGCTCGAAGCACTCATTAGTCAAAGTCGGTGCAAAATTTCTATATTAGATCGGTCCGAAACCAAATCATGCTGTTTGAATAAATCGGTTACACATACTCATTGATCTGAAGAAAACAACCTCAGCTACAACCGAAAAATACCAGTCAAAATGAGGTACCAGATGGAAAAAGTACATTTCCATCAAAATAGAATGTATTCGAACACGTAGTCTGTTATTAACATGCTGTGCCACGACATTACACACCGCGTCAGCTCATACAGCCAAATGTGCAGCATCTTTTTCTCATTCGCGTCTCCGACGAGCTGCTGCTTATGCGGTGGGCAGCAGCCGAGACACTCGATCAAATCATCGAGCATAGCTGCCGAATTGCTATTTCACAGCATCAACATCGACACATTTTAACACGGTGTAAACAATTTTCGACAGTAATAACGGTACACAGCCGCACATGGATTTATTGGCTAAATTGCGCTTGATTTTCTGCGCTTTGGCACCGTACTATATTCATATATATATATATATATGTGGTACAACACACACAGCACTATAATAAGTTCGAATGAAATCATGTAGCAAATTGCTGCCAAACAATGTATGCTTTGGCATCTCATCGATGATGACGCTGATGATGGCATCCGAAGCAACGGGAGAAAAATGAGGAGTTTGCGACGCGAGAAATGAAGAAAAGTGAAAGAAGAGGCTGGTCACATCGACAACTTGAAAAATTATTACGCGATTCAGGAAATATGTTGAAAGGCGAATCCTTTGCGCGAAGTAATTAAAGGCTCGATGTTTTGATCGATATTGTTTTCCAATTTCTCAAACTAATACATATTATTTTGATGGGTCAAAAGTCAAATTAAAATCATAGCGATAAAATATGAAAATTTCATAAAAATTCGTCTGAAACGTTATATCTTACTCCTTTTCGAAGAAATTCGACGAAATATGCTCCGAACATGGGAATTATATGAAAAGAAAACATTGACTATTCAAACGTAAAAAGTGCAATTTTCACGTCAGAAAATCATGGCACACTTGTGCTGAGTGTGTCATAGAGTCAGGCTGACTGGCTTGACGATGTTATAAAACAACATACACTTTTATTGCTTCCTCTAGCTGCGCTGGCACACGAAATGTGATGTCATTTTGTTTCATTGATTCAGCTGTTAATCACATCTGACGCTCTTCGTTCACACACACTCGCTGCAACATCTCTCACTCAATCTGTCTCCATCACTGTTTTTGCCGTGTATGCATACACATCGATTACGACGCGCTCGAATGGAACTGGTTGTATGCATTCAAATTACATGGCACAAATCAATTTTTCCTCTGCATAACACTGAATTTGATATTATTTGCGGTTCGTGTGTTTTTTTTCTTCTTCTGTGTCTTTGTACGGAGAAATACGAAGAAAAAAACGGCACCATCGGCAACGGCAGCGGCAGTGTTTTGTCCTATATGGGTATTAGCTGAAGCTATTTAGTAATTGCAAAAATGCATGGGCTAATTCCAAAAGAGCGTGAAATAATCTCTTTCTCATGCAAAAATTAAATAAAATAATAATATTACACCGTCACCCAATGAATATATGGAGCAATAAATCTTCGTCAATTTCATTTGACCCAAAACGAATAAATTGATTTGATGTAGTGCGAAGAGAGTGAGCGAAAAGAGATTGAGCGAGCGAGAGAGCAAAAGCGGGATAGATAGCGAAAAAGATTGAAAACGGCGGATCGGCTGGTCGAGAATTATGCGGAAAAATTTGCCGTATACTGCGCTAACGAGCCATTCAACGCCGTTTACTCGGCCAAAAAAGTGTGCGATCTCCACACAGCAGAAGAAGAACACTAAAAAACAACAACAGAGATCGATCACCTGAATAGGGTAACGGCACATCACACATTTTTTAATGTGATACAATAACCGAATACGGATGATTTCTGCGGCACGCGGATTAGCCGATATAAATTCGCACAAAGATTAAAAGCAGTGATCACATCATTTTTTGCGTATTCCTCCAAGAGAGAGAGAGAGAGAAAGAGAGAGAGAGAGAGAGAGAGAGAGAGAGAGAGAGAGAGGGAGGAAAAAACATAATAAAAATGGTTGATGACACAATTTCAAAACATTGATATTTTTTTATTTTGAACGGTCGAAACTTGCTCGTATCGACTATAAACAGAATTTTATCACTTTTTTCCCAATGGAATACCACTTTTTTCGTATTATAACTCATCTTTGGACATTTAAAATTAGTTAATTTATTTTGGAAGACGCGTAATTTATACGTTTCCTTTCGCAACTATTTCGAAATCGAATGTCGATCTCTATTAATTACTGCCATATTTTGTCTCGTCTAAAATTTGGGTATTAATGTTTTTTTTCTCATCATTTCAGATGCTTCCGTGGAATGTGTAAGATGGGGAAGGTCGATGAGCGTTGAATAGAATGGAAATCCGATGAAACATTTTTATGAATGAAAGAGAATCCGTTGAACTAAATTGGTTTCAGTACAAAATCAGAGCGTCGGTCGAAGGGATCAAACAAACGGATTTTTTTTTGCTGAAACAAACGTGAAAGAAAGTGCTGGGAGAGCACTACAGCTGAACGTGAGAAATAAGAGACCCTGACATTTAAATATTGATACAAAGATATCGAATCAAACACTCAAACAGTGTGGAGAACGGAAGAGAAGAAAAAAACAAAAAAATGGATCAATCACCGATTTTAGCTGGTGGTGATGGTTTTGACGATGATCCACCACCAGAACCGCGTGAAGGATGGCTCTTGGTTCGTGTACATGTACCCGAATTGAATGTTTTCAAATCGCTGCAATTTCCATCCGATCGCCTCGTTTGGGATGTTAAGCAACAGGTGTTGGCATCATTACCAAAGGTAAATGCATTTCATTTGACATTCAAAGCCCAATTCAATTTGAGATTCAAGGTGAACCCAACACCAACACCAACAAAAAATATGATGAATAACCGTATTGCGTGATGTAATCAGATTGCTTTTGTCATACGAAGCCGTGTTATTTCTTTCATCTTCTGAAATGCAAATGGCGTGAGCCATTGTGTAGAAGAAGAAAAAACTAAATCCAATACCGACGACGCATCACGCAAAAATCATTCAATCACAAAAGAGCGCGATGAACAAACGGAAACAACAATCGCAACGAAAATATCACAAATTATGAATATGATTAAGGTTTTATTAATAATTTTATGAGTTTAGCACAAACACAGACTCACAAAGCACGACCATTTCGAAAAGTATAACGAGGTAACAAATTGTTAGCATACATGAAAAATGGGCTGCCAAACAACAATTCGATTTTGCTCTCTATTTTATCGGAGGCACGCTTCATCGGAGGGGGGCAATTTTTTGAAATCTAGGCATTGTCTATTAGGCCATGTTCAAATGAGCAAATAATTATATTTAAAATAGGCGCGAAACCGGTAATTTTCTCTATAAAACGATTGTGAGTGACCGCGACGTCGGTAGCCAAATCAAAGTCTAAAAGTGATCCCAACTTGAATTCGTTTCTCAAACTTTTTCCTCTCCAATCTCGATTTTATGACATTTTATAAATCACATAGTACATTTTCCATGGGTTTTCGCTGTATTTCGTTTCAATTTCGTCGTCATTTGACCAAACAACTTTTTTTCATGGGATCGAAGCTCACTGAAAGTTAAATGTTCTAAGATTCTCTGCAAATTGGGTTGGGTTCGAGGAGAAAAATAGAAAAAAAACAGCACTAATATTTTCATCATCATTTTTAGTAGTTGCTGAGCATGAAAATGTGGTTGCCTTTGATTTTGTATGTTTTTTCTTCTGATGTGTACCTTTTTCGAAGCACATCTGACGCTGTTTTTATTCTACCTTTTTCCTAATTCAATTTCATCCGTCTTTGATGTTTCGTTTGAACGCTTTCGGAATCAAAACGACACTTGCGTTTTAAATTGCGTTTAATTTTTCAAACGACATCAGTGCGCGCAATTAAATGGCAAATGTCCGTTGGGCGCTTGTTGCATCAGCCTTGTTACATTCGGATTTAAATCAACTCGAGAGAAAGGTGAAAAAAAATCGAAGAAACGACGAAAAATCAACGGAAAAACCAGAATTGCGCAGATTTGCAAGTTAGTAATGTGTTTGATATCAACGGTCGATTGAGAGCATGCCGGCACGGCCAAAAACTGTACACACACACACACACACGTCGAACCGAAGAGAGAAATGAAGCCGCGTGTTGAGTGCTGTTGGAAAATTTATTGCAATAATAACTATAACGGTTGCCATCTTGTTCCTCATGCTGCCGTTGTATCAGCCGAAAGAATCTCATTCATCTTCAGAACAGCAATTCGCGCCCTACAATCATTCCACCGTGCCGCTGTTCGTGTTGTTGTTTCTTTTTTCATCTTCTTTTCGTTGGATTTCGAGCACTCTATGAATGCATCTTAATTATGAATGTGTTTGTGTGTATGCTTGTTTGTATGTGTGTGAAAGATTTTATGAGGCTTTCGGTACCGCTAATACCAGCTATTCGCAAGATGAATTAGCAACGAATCGGGAGCTTCGGCTCGAATGTCGACATCATAGCACCAGGCCAAAGACAAAAGAAGAAAGCATCCCAACTATGAGGTTGAAATGTGATGCTGAATCACAACCAAATACGAATGAGCTATAACTTTTATTAAATATACTTTTCGTCTTCTTTATTCTCTCTCTCTCTCTCTCTATCTCTCTCAATTTCTTCTATCAGAAGTTTTCGACCAATACATTATAGTTTCAGATTGCTAACCGTCATATCCCCCATGAGTATATAGTGTGATAGATTTGGCGACGACGACAACGACAACGTCGCCGTCGCCGCCGTTGTTGTTTATTATGTGAAGTTCGGAAACAAACATCTTTAAGTTGCTTTTGATTTATTGCGCAATAAAAATCCGTTGCTCGTTTTCAGTTGTACATGCTACATTTGCAATACGTTTGATGTTGTCGTACAATTATTGATGATTTCAAGCCATTTTGCTGCAGCTAATGGAGAAAGAGTAAGAGGGAGAAACAGACGAAGAGGTGGTACGATGAGCAGAGGCCACAAGGATGAGTCGTGAAATTATATCATCCAGTCAGTACATAGCCAATTCATCGATGTAGTAATGGTGCAATCCATCGAAAATAGCTTCAACATCATTATGACAGTTGAAATTAATTTATTACATATAACAACTGCTTGAATTTTTTTTTGTTTTTCTTCTATCAACGACGACAACAACTGCAACAACAACCAAAACAACGTCTATCAATTCGACAACAGATGATCAACATGTCATGCACATAGACAAGCACTCTAAATGGAACTTGTCTCATGTAAAACGATACCACCGACTCTCATTCCACAGAATTATTGGTGCCTTGAGGATACGGCCAGATTTTGTGGCCGATTTAGTTTGAAGTTTTTATGATATCAAGCAAGTTAATGATTTTAAATTATGGGCGATTGAAATAGCAACGGAAGTGCCATCGGTCAAAATAGATGAGTTCAGTCTATATAGAATACATTCTATGATAGAATCAACGATAAAATGAGATAAGGAAAATGGCAATAGATTGTGAAGCATTTTCTATGGTCATACTCATGGCTTAAATGATATGTTGAAATAAAGCGTCAATCGTCGCGAATTTTAATTTGATTTAATTAATGAATCTGCAAAGAGATTTTATGGCTTCTACAAAAGAGAGGAGTATACGTATACACTCACTATGTCGTTCAACCTCCTTCTTTGCTCTTTTCTTTCAATGAATTCGTTACTTCCATTTGATTTAAATGGTTTCATGGAGAAAAGAAATTTACTTTTCAAAAATAAATTCATCAAAATCGTTCAAATTCAAACGCGTTTCCTTCGTGCATTTGTCATAGATTGTTTTTATTTAAAAACATTTCCGTGTTGTTTTTATCTAAAGATTTCAATTCTTGTAAAAATGTTCATTACTCTTCACAAAATTGATAATTCTTTTCGTTCAACATTGGCAGAGAATGCATCGAAACGAACAATCGAAATCGATAAAGTTCTGATGACCAGTGCGCTGAAAAATGTCACACTATATAGTTTATTTTTCTCTGGAAACATTCCAAATGCAGTTCATTTGTAAAAGTTGTGAACGTCCACTTAAAAAATAAAGAAGAAATGGCTTATTACGCGACTGCTCGCGATCAATGTGTACATTATCAGAAATCATTTATCAAAATGTTGACATTTGATTACGTTTCGTTATCTCTTTGGCTTTCTCACCGTAATGCCGAATATTGCACGCTATTCCAAATAAACAGTCATAAAGTCACTTCACATGTATCCCATGTCGTTTTTTTTTGTAACCAAACTGTGGTATCTGCCTTCAATTGAGTCAACAGTTTATTATTTAGAGAATTCAAATGGCGCGCATTTGGTGGAAAGTTGTTTTTTATGGAGACAGAGAAAAAAAAATTGGCATGCAGACGAACGAAAAATATTATTTTCTCATTAAAATTATCGATTAGTAGTCGTCGGGCGAGTGTATTGGTCATTAGTACACAACGTTTGACTTGATACCACTTATAGAAAGTTTAATTTAATAGCAGCACTCCAATCATCGATTCGAAATGGTTTGCGAACGCGAATAGCGTAGCATCCGTGGGACCGAATGAATGAATTGTGTACTATCAACTGGCGTGTGCAATTATTTAATATTTGTGCATTTTTTTCCGTCAAGGCCTTAGATAATATTTTTCCTTGTTTCGGGCGCGTTCTGTATCTCTCTCTCTCTATCTCTCTGTGTGATATTGGATTGTGATTTGTGGGGCAGAGAAAGTAAAAAAAATTAGGACCAATTCAGTCTTTATTAGCCGCTAATTCTCTTTCGTTCGTAGTGCAGACGCACCCAAGACACATACACACAAACATATCACGTTCATTCTAACAAATCTTTCGCGATGATTGAGATCTAATCGATACGCCATCGCAATTCACAATGAAAGTCCCAGCACGGTGCAACAGACACAAGCGAAAAACAACCATTCAACGAAAGAACCGAAATGAAGAGTTGTTGCCTGCGGCATCAATGAGCCCACTGAGATTGTATTTTATGTATCAATTTTACGATCGCATTTAAAATCGAATTTTATGGCGAGCAGATAAATGCTTGGTGATTGATGCAACACCAAAAATGGGGCTTCTGTGCTATTGCATGACATTTTGATCGACGAAACAAAAAAAAATCAGTCGAAATTTGGCGATTTATCCTTTCATCCGTAGGCATTGATTAATTCCCCATTTCCTACATCCAAATCCAAGAGTAAATTTGATCAACTGAATTGAATGACGTGGATTTATTCGAAGCAGGCACGACAGAGAGACTGCGAAAAAAAACATTTAATTAAAATACAAAATGGAATGGAAAATGCAATTAAAATGACCTGCAATTTGACAAAATGAGTCAACATATTTATCGTGTTTGTGCTTCGGCGTGTATTTGTCATTTCCAATTTCCAAAAGCACTTGTTCGAGCGAAATTACGCCATTTTTCATCTCTTTCGCCCCCTCTCTGTGTTCGAGTATACCCTTTAATGGTGCTTGAGAACTGCACGCATCCGATGTGTATCGGACCTCTGTCCAATCACATGCGTGTTTTTTCCTTCTTCACAATTTCCCGAAAAAGTCATATATATTTTAAACAAATTACTCGCAAATAACTCATACAATTTAGTATTTAATTATAATCTTGTGTTTGATTTCGTATTCTTTTTTTTCCTGTTTCCATTTTATGTTGTTATTTATTTTGTGTGTTTGTGTGTGTGATTCGAAAAACAAATAAACACGGAAAATATATGTATATTTGATGCACACGGATTCCGAAATGGGAAACGAACACACTCACTCACTCACACTTGACAATTGTTGCAAATGTGAACGAGCGGGGCTTTTGTTTGGCCACGAACAACACACAATTGATCACAAAACTGTGATAAAACACGAAAATTGTGCATTTTAAATGACGAACATTCCGATATTCGATCACAACGCTTCAACAACTTAATCAACACACGACGACGATGACAACGACGACGACAATGCACACAATGTTGCAAACAGGTTGCATTTTGGTTTCGGGTATGTGTTGTAGGATTTTGCATGCCAATTTTTGGTTTTTCTTTTCATTTGTCGTCATGTTACGTTTTGACTAGTTTTATACTTACTCTTTCTCTCTCTCTTTCTCTATCTTTCTCTATCTTATTTCATTCGTCAAGCGTCGTTTTTCCTCGTAATCATTGCAAGTAGATCTATTTCCTCGAATTCCATGTACCAAATGCTATGCTCGCATTTCATTTTACCTACTATACAATATTGGGTACACACATACACACACCAATTGTACATTTACATATTTTATCAGACGGTTTGTACGGAGTTTCAATATGTATAATTAATTCCGGAGAATATTTGTGTTTTGGCTTTAGGCAATCACTTGTCAGTTTGTAATCATGATTTGGAAACAATTCGTTGAATTCAACGAATTGAATAGAGAAGCAAATATACAAAGCATTTTGCTGCGCACAAAATTCCAAAAGTAAAATCTCTTCCGTTCAGTTTGAAACCCGAAGCGAAAAATTTGCATTCGATTCAAATTCTCTCTAATTCAACCGGAAATTCGAAAAAGTCCTCTTATCAACTTGTATAAAATTCGAAGCAAAAATCTTTGTTCAACTCAATCTAACAAACTCTTCTGCTTACCGATTCTATGTTGCTGAATTTTTCGGTTTTCACGTAATTATTCCCATGCAGACGCTTAATTTAACGCAACTCAAAACTTTAATTTGATTCTCTCTTTCATTCTGTCGAAGTAAAAGTTCTTACAATTGGCCATTTCAAGTGTGATTTTCCGCTGACAATTTCGGCAAGTGTTTGTGTTCAGTCGGAGCAGCAAGTTTCGTTTTTGTGGCACAGAATGAAACTTCATTCTTTGTATGCTTTCCTGGGTTTATTGTTTATTGCCTGTTAATTAGGCAGCTTCAAGTGACTCAAATCCATCTCAGCCATTTGGGTGTATATATATATGCGAATGGTTATTTTTGGCGATGAGGTGAGGTGACATAAATCAATTGTATTGGACCTGATTATGGAAAGTTGTAATTTGACGCAATCATTTTTAATCCGCACCACGTTGTCAGAGATTTTAATCAAATCAATGAAAAATTTGATTTGATGATGGAAGAGAAGAATGAATACGAAAAGAAAACAGACACAAACACAGACACACACCACCTTATGCACACTTTCCATACCGTACTCTATAATTAATTTTTCGGTCGGATCTCGCACGTGAAATCTGCATCTCATATTCGATAATGGCGAGTACGCAGTGCGCGAGCAACCGACAGACACATATATGAAAATGACGAACAAATGCTGATTGACAGCCACGATATTTCATTTTCTATTATTCATTTTTGTTCGTTTGCATGTTTGGGATATTTTTGGTGTTCGCCAACTTGACCAACGACAATGAGAAATCAACGGATAATTTATCAATTTGAACGAAATATGGAATTGTTTCAATGAATACTGACCAGTTCAGACCGAGAGTTGGCGCGAATAACATGGTGATATTCGACTGAAGCAGGGCTCTGGAACAGACCAAAGCAAACCAGCAACGATAAGTAAGCAGTCCAACGCAAGCTTAAGTGTTTAATGAGCATGTTGACGGTTGTAACTGATCATAGATCACAAACACATTTGACTGTTGATTTCCACTTGGTTCCATATTTCCGCGATTTTTTTTTACTTTCAATTGCGCCGAGGAACCATTTTCTTCTCTCTCGCTCAATTTCCAATGTAGTTATTGGTTAGTCTTTAATTTCAAACATAATAATTTGCGTTGATTCCGAATTAAATTGTCCGGAGGTGATCATTTGGATGAGATGAAAAATGAACACCACCTCCGGCAACTAGGCAAAACCAAAATATTCAACATAATCAATCAGCCTGAGCACCGAAAAAAAAAACTGCACTTGATGTAATGAGACTTGAATGAAAGTGTTGATGAACATTTCATGAAATATGATTTCATCGTCGAGAGCAGCAGCGACTGTCGATGAAAGTACACGTGTGACATTCGTTGCGGCGGAATAAGGCGATACATGGCTTTCTGTGTTGTGTTGTTTTTTTTGGTCTTGTTTTTAATTATTTCATGGTCCAGTTCTTGCGGTCGATACTTTAATTCTCTTTTACACACGCTTTTTTCTTCCGTCGTCGTCGTCTTCTGAATCGCAATTTAAATGCCGTCATTTTGCTGAATAATTAAAAGCACGCTCATTTATAAATAAGTAGCGTTTACGCGCGTTCGGCCCCAACACACACATACGTTCTTTTCCTTTTTCTTCGTCTAATTCTTTGGGACGGCTTGAATGAGAATATTAGACCGAACAACAATTTCTCAGCTGCAAGTGTTGAATTTTATTCGGCCACTTGTTATACGGAACGGGCGAGAGACAGAGGAAGAGAGAGTGAGCGAAGAAAATCAGAAGAACGCCACCGATTTCTTAAGACCAAAGACACACTTGACGACACCGTGCTCATCTCATCGCATAATGACTTTTGACATACATTGAATTTGATGTGACCATAATCTTAATGTTCGCTCTTAAAAATAAACCTTCGTACAGAAAAAAACACTTCATTTCACTCTTATAAAGGCTATAATTGTCGTCACATTTGAATAGATAATGGGAATGATAACAACTCTTTTTTTATATTCTTAAATACGAATACGCCTATCTGCTTCAGATCATTCCGACTGTTAGTTTTCTCTTCTTTCTGTTGATATGTAGGCATATCTGTCTCAGATCATCACCGTTTTGAATCAATTTTCGTGCAACTATATCCAGCTGAGTTCGTTTGGTCATGGTACAAAATACCGATTCTTGGTGGTCGTGTTTTCGCTTTGCGTCGACGCAAAAATGATCGCCCGTCGGTTTTTTTTCTCGGTTCTCAAAATTTTAATCGCTTGCCAAAGCCATTGGAGATTTAACGATTATGAGAAAGCGCAGCTAAGAATTACCCAAATGGCAACACGTAACCATAAAACGATTCCAAATACAATCACCCAATCATCGCTAGTATGGTGCATAATATTAAACGCACCCATTCATTTTTCATTGTTTTCAAATTCCGCGCGAAAAAATTACATTAGGTTCCCATTAAGAATGGATGCGTTTAGTATTATGTGACTTGTCGCTGTTGTGCATTTACGTTTGACACTAGCAGTCGTAGCAATCACCCGAAATTACATTCTACAAACACAGAAATGAACTATTTTAAGAGCAAGAACGAGAAAAGAATGAAAAAAGATTTGAGACTTTGATCGTATTCAAGTTAAGACGAGAGAGGGAGAGAGGGAGAGAAAAGACGATGAAAAGAATCTCGTTCTTACTATGCGCAAGAGACGCTTTAGTCTTTAGTCACACAATTGATCCGATTCGAACGTTCGCTGGAGCGATCAAGAGCATTCCAAAAATCGAACAAAATCCAAATTGGCAAATTAGAATTGAGCGATTTAAACGAGAGATTCGGAACAATCGACAACAGTTCTTCTGAACGAAATTCCATTTTGCATTAAACGATCGTGTATTTGTTACATGTTGCTTTGTTGTTGTTTAGACCGCCGGCAATGAGGTTAACTATCGATGGGATAGTCCGCGTGTATGTTTGCCCGCACGAAGAGAGACTTTCCATATAGAAAATGTCGACTTTCAATTTTTCGACGTAAATCATCGCGAGCTCTGGACAACAACAACAACAACAGCAAAAAAAAAATATAATGTAACATAACAAGGAGAAAAAAATGTGTGATTCACCGTTAGAGAAACAAAAACATGATGCGGAGAAATGTTTGATGACGTATTCGGCGATAATTATGTTGCGATGCGCATCAAATCGTCAATTTCTCACTTTAACAGCTCTCTGCGTAGCGGCTGTGTTTTTTCCCTTCTGGTGCTTGGCCCTGTTTATTGTCGTAGATGCGGTAGAGATAAGTGCGTCAAGTTAACGTTCAATTTGAATAATAATATTAAAATCGGCCGAGTCAACAAAATGTTTGCAATTAATAATGATTATTGCTAATGTTGGTCGATTTTCGGGGGCAAACAAGACAGCACACCACAAACAAAGGAAAAAACAACACAAACAATAAAACAGACAGCAACGAAATAGGCAAAAAAACAACAAAAGCTAATGATTGATTTTTCTTGTGGTCATTCATTGTGAGTGAAACTCTGTCGCTCTGTTGTTGCCCCGGCAAAATAAACGACAGAGTGCTTGCTCATTGATTGTGTGTCTAGCGAAGCAAAAAAAAACGCCAGAATTCAATCTCCTCGCTGAAATTACTCGTCGTTGCCATCGTTGCCGCCGCCGCTTTCGTTCATTTGCACGTGGAATTCGTTTCACCTCTGATACTTTATTTGATTTAAAAACACAACTCTTTTGTTCTTCGCGGCTCAAAAATCAATTTCACTTAAAACCGAATACGTTTTCGAGGGAAAAGAGTGAGACGAGAGCAAGCGAAAAAAACAGACACAAATTGAATACTTTATACGGTTTGAAACGTGACGAAGCTGCTGTTGCTCTAGCTCTGGCTCTGGCCATAAAAATAAATCGGCAAACTACAAGTGGAAGTTTGTAGGTTTCATAGTAATTAATTCGTGGGTGCTCGTTTCCAGCACTCCACTCGTTCGCACAAACATACACACAGAGATCGTAAAGCACTAATTAATGCCTGCTACTACAATTTGGACGTGTTTTCGTTTTTTGTATTTGATTTGATTTGAACAGAGCTCTGAAATCAGCTCTTTTTTTGCCGGTTTGTTTTTTTTTCTGCACAGTGTTGTCCGCAGATTGATCGCATTTTGCACAGCTTTCTGATGTTTATTGCAGTTTAGCAGCAAGTTTGACATGATGAAATATCCTAGGGGTTTCACGCAAACTCGAAGGCCGAAGATTTTACTAGATAGCTGGAAATAAAACCATTTTATGTGTAAACTATAGATATTGCTTCTTTTTATTCATAAACTCGAATTTTTTAGAATTTTTTGAATCTAAAAATTCTGGAAGTGGGTTTTGGTGGATCCTCAGGATTGTTCAAAACCGCTCCTGGTTCTGGAAGTGGATCCTCAGGATGGATCAGGGCATTGTCAAACCCAGTCTGATCCATCCTGAAGATCCACCAAAACCCACTTCCAGAACCGGGAGCAGTTTTGAACGATCCTGAGGATCCACCAAAACCCACTTCCAGAACATAATTTTCAAGGTGAATGTTGAAATATTTCGAAATAATACGGATTTTGGTGAATCCCAGAGAATTTGAGAGAAAAGAGAGAAATATTGAAATTTTAGATGAATTTTAAGTGGCGTGAAACCCCTAGGAAATATCAAGGTCGACAGCTGGACTTAAACATGCAACCATATCTTAATCGTTGCCTAATTACGTTGTTCTTGTTCTTTTGTGTCCATTGATGAATTTGATACAATTATTTATTTGTTTATGGTGTGTTCTGTAGTTTGTTTCCTTCCATTCAGCGGTCAATGGATTGGCCCGATGTAATTTATTCATCGGTATTATAGCCTCTATTTTGTTTTATTCTTTTTTTGCATGGGCCTCATTTATTTTCGCTCTAGCTCCACACAAAACGTGTTTCCAACGCAATTCTCATGGGATTACTCCATTAAACATATCGTATATTTGTTTCTTCTTCTATTTTTATGGCAATAATGAACTTTAATCTATTCCCAACGCGATTCATTCTTCTCACACGCACTCTCTCTCTCTCTCTCTCTCTTTCTTATCTCGGTTGCGATTTTCTGCGAATGGTTTTGATAACGGACCTATTCCTAATGGAATTTTCGTGACATTTTTTCGACTTGTTCATAGTCAAATTCGGTTTATAGGAAACACGAAAAAGAGGTTACGCTAGAAGGAAATATCCGATTCTACCTTTTGATTATTCGGTTATATTTAGAAAATTAAATTAAGCTGATCATTCCTATGGGTTTTACTTGATGCGTTTGAAAAATGGCCAGCATATCATGTCCCGGATGGACAGATATAGCAAACAAAAACCTCAACGAAGAAAAAAAAAATACCAACTAACATTGCCCATTTTTGATTGGGTTTGGTTAACGGATTTTATTTCACCATGTCGTTAACATTACCCGATATGCAATGAGTTCATCTTGAATGCATTGAAAGAACACAAGAGATACAATGCTGATGATAGAGATAGAGTTGGGTGAATGAGAAAAAGCTGCTGGCACAAATTTATCCGTCAAGTCGTGCGTCTGTCGCTCAATTGTTGTGACCAATCGGCCTAAAATCGTTGGATATTCTCTCTCTATCGACAACTTTTCGAATGAAGCAAACTATGAACTGACTGCCTACATGCAAACGATTGAGAGAGAAAAAACCACATGACCACATCCAACTGAAATGAACGTTGACAACATTCAAACATAATCTTCTCCCGTTATGCATTGCTCAATTTCCACGCTTCGATTGGCATTTTTATTAGTGCGGTTTCTGTGGATGCACAACGCAGCACAAAACACAGGCGAATTGAGATAAGTCGCTTTGTGTATGCTCGTTCACTGTGCGCCGAGCAAGAGTTGCAAATCAAATGACACTGGTCCGTTAAATGTGGGCAACAGTCGGCCGATTCTCGGAGTTTTGTGTGTGATTCCGAAAAATCCGCGCGCGATTGATATACACCATCGATTGGTCGGTCTCGCGCCAACCAAACTAAATCTTCTTTTTTTTGAAAACAGAAAAAACACACAACTTCAATGGAATGCCTCTGAATGACACACATGGTTCGCTGAACCGTCAAATCAAACAGAACACTTGCTGAGAGAACGTCGTTTTTTTCTCAGTTCTTCTTACTTCTTCCGCACATTTTTTTTCTTACTTATTGAATATTTTTAAATTGGCTCAACCACTTCATTTCATGTGGAAGGTGAGTCCGTTTCCAATGCGAATTATGCACACCGATTCGCTTTTAATTATTTGATGTTTTCTCATTCAAATTGAGATGATTTCGATGATCCACTTGGCAGCACAAACTCTCTCGCGCGCATACACATAGTGACTGCAAGTACCTGACATCTTAACCGAAAAATTTCGATTCACTCGAAACCACTTGGCTACCACAACAACACTTCATTCAAGTGATTCAACTCTTGTTCGCTCATTTTTTTTACTCCGCTCTTTTTTTGTCGATGAGAAATTTGTTTTAATGCCCTGGGCTGTTTGCCCAAAAATAGAAATTAACAACCACATTTTACAAATCTCTGAATAAAATGATAAAACGGAAAAAAAAAATTCCCACCGAAAACACATAAAATAATCAGTTCGGTAGCAAATAGCAATTTTGTGAGTATATATCCGAATGAGAATTTTAAAAAACCAGTATTTTTATATCCCCCATCTGCTCTTCATATTGTTATTGACGCTCTTAATCTGATACCTCCGAAAAAACAAATCATACATGTTATCTAATGACTGCACCTATTTTAATCCTCCATTCAACCGAATGTATAACACAATTTTTTTTCTCGTTCGAGAGACGTCGCATTTCGTTTTCTTGATGAAGCATGAAATGTTGTTTTTTACTCTTTGTTTCGATTCTTGTCGTTTACAGCATCGCATTTTATCCCCCGCATATCATTTCGTGTATAAGCCATAAGAAAAACAAATCACCGACTGAAAACCTCCATTTAATCATCCAATCATTCGATCATTTTTATTCCACGGCAGACATGGAACATGGTATTATGCTATGGAATTTCTATGTCTGCTGCTATTTGTGTATGACATTCAATGAATCAAATGTACAAACAGTCAAAGAAGAAACATTGTGTAGACTATAAGGATTTTGAAGGTGGATACCTACATACCCGTTGAATACATACGTATATACATGCATTTATTTAATTGTTTCGAACTGTCATGGTATCAAATTTATATAGCATGATTGAAATGAAATCACAAACACACGCCACATGTTACCAGGCGACACGAGACAATGAACGATTCTAATTGAAACTGGATAATTTTTTTTCGTTGCATTACAGGAGCTGAAGGAGAGTTTCAACTATGGCCTCTTTTGCCCACCATCAAACGGCAAGGCCGGCAAATTTCTTGATGAAGAACGACGACTCGGTGATTATCCATTTAACGGACCCGTTGGATATTTAGAGGTAAGCTACACATCACATACAACCAATATCGTTTTTTGTGGCTTGTGATTTAAAATAATTTAATAGATTGATGTGCAACTATTGCGGTATTTTGGTAGAATTTTCTCTTTGGTTATCGTTGAAATTCGGTTTGTACTCTTCGTTTCTTTGTTTTTCTTTTTTTCTTCTTCAAAATTCTCTTCGGTGTCGTTTTTCCTGAATATGGAATATTATCACGTATTTTTCTGAGGAAAACATGAAATATTTGAAGAAAGGAATGATATTTAAAAAGAGGAATTTTTTCGAGGAATGTCTCATTTTTCGAAAAAATCCAATTAGGTTATAAAAAAGTTCCATTATTCGAGTAGAAAATCGATTTAATGCAAAGGAAAAGTATCAAACTCAGTCGATATCAACATATTTTTTTTACCAAAGAACTGCAAGAAAACCTTCAAATTCCATTGAACGCAATAAAATGAATATCATTTTTCTTACCCCCTTCCCACACTCAACTCACTCACTCTCTATATCTCTCCGTTCATTTGCAGCTAAAATACAAGCGTCGCGTCTACAAAATGCTAAATTTGGATGAGAAACAATTGAAGTCATTGCATACGCGAGCGAATTTGCGTCGTTTCTTGGAATGCATCAATGGTGGTCATGTGGAGAAAATCGCAAAAATGTGTAATAAGGGTTTGGATCCGAATTTTCATTGTACGGAATCGGGCGATACACCACTGACGTTAGCGACCTGTGCGAAAAAACCAAACAAATTGCTGATTGCATTAGTCAATGGTGGCGCATTGCTTGACTATCGAACAAAAGACGGTGCAACAGCTTTGCACAAAGCCGTCGAGACTGATTGTCTCGAAGCAGTCACGTAAGTCATACACACACACACACACATGAGAAAGAAAGAAACTTGCATAATTTCTATTTGATTAATTCGCAGCACATGATGATTAATCACGTTGATTTTTCCTCTTCTTCTTCTTTCTCTCTCTCTCTCTCTCTCTCTCTCCCCTTTAGTACGTTATTGGAATTAGGCGCGTCACCAAATTATCGAGATGCACGTGGCTTGACACCGCTTTACTTATCAGTCATCAAAAAGACGGACACGAAAATATGTGAAAGCTTGTTACATGATCATGCAACGCTTGGCACACAAGATTCGCAGGGCTGGCAAGAGGTGCATCAGGTAAGCACGATGAAAATGATGATTCCATCATTGTAGCACACATAAATAGTCAAGTAGTAAGTAGTAAGTTGGGTTCGAGTAAAAAAAAGCAACAACAACAACTATTTCCTCTTCTGGGGTTTTCTGGATATATTCAACTCTGTAAAAGCCATAGAATTTCGATTTGTTTATCGGATGAATACTTTCATTTACATGGATTATCCGATATACAATCATTAAATACACTCCTGGTGATGGTAGAATTATCTATTTTAACGTTGTGACATACTGCATAATGCTTCTCGAACTCGGTGGAATCCGTAGTAATTTCGTAGGGTTTAAGCCAAAAAAAAAACAAACTATATTCTGGATGAAGGTCGTATCTACTGCTCTGTTGCACCGAAAACGGCAACAGCAGCGAAATGAGCTACACTAAATAGTATATTGAAATTTTTCTATTCGATCAATGGAACATCTCTAACAGCCATCGAATGCATTTTTCTATTGCAACGAATCAATGTTAAATACAAAAAGAAACTCGCACACAATTTTTTCTCGAAATTCAGATCAATTTTTACATCATTGGTTTTTTTTTGTTCACAAGAGTTTTTCTTTTGCACAATTTTGTATAAAAGTAAATTTGAAGAAAGAAAAAAAATTTGACAAATGTGAAATCAATAAAGACAAAAACAAACACACAAAACTGCATTCACAGGCTTGCCGACATGGTCTTGTTCATCACTTGGAACACTTGCTGTTCTACGGTGCTGATATGGATGGTCGTAATGCTTCCGGTAACACTTCACTGCATGTATGTGCCGTTAACAACCAAGAAGCTTGCGCTAGAATGTTACTATTTCGTGGTGCCGATCGTGCAGCACTCAATTACGCCAATCAAACACCTTATCAGGTACTATACTTACAATACCTTTATTTATAGCTAAACGTCAACTCTTTTTGCTCGGTTTTTGTTTTGTTTTGTTTTTGTTTCGGTTCATTTGCGAAAGGACTTGCAACGTCAAAGACGGTCTATTTTATTGGATTCCATTCACATCAAAGTGCATAAGCCGCCACCGCCGCCATCGTCGGCAAATGAATGCCATGCAATTTGTCATAAGTCGAGGCTGACGCGTGCAGACAACGAATCCAAAAAATAAACAGTTTTCGGCACATCTCTTTTAACTGCATTTTAAATCGCTTTATGCATACAGTCATTCTGTTGCCTTTTTTAAAGTTTTTTTCCCTCTTTTTCGGTTATTTTTTTTCTTCTTCGCTTTCTCTATCATTGGCAAAACGATTTCCAAATTTTATTTTCCACATGACTTACCTTTTTGTCAAAGGTGCTTTTTGCGTATCATTATAACTTGTTTTATGATTTTTACACATTTTGAATACATTTTATTCATGCCAGTAATCGTTAACATATCATTTTCCAAATGGACACAGGTCGCAGTCATAGCTGGCAATTTAGAATTAGCTGAAATGATCCAGAACTATAAACCAGAGGATATTGGTAAGTATTGCACTGCAAACAGACGCACACAAACACATTTGTTTCTGAATGAATGTTTAAGGCTTGTTTCTCGTTTATTTTTATGGCTACTTCATTGAATTTTGTTTTTTTTTATTTCGTTATTTTTATTATTATGAATGACAATTAAACGTTTACTGTTTAGCGCATCATAGACGACATTACTATCGCAAACAATTCAATGTCTCTGTCTCATTGTTTGCATTTGTTCATTCATCAAGGAAAATTTCAATGAGCATTCAAATTTCAGTTGACCAACTTCTTTTTTCCTTTTTGATATCGACTTGCAAACAATTTATGTGTACAAAAGTCAAATTAATCATTAATTTATTCACAATCAACTCGGTTAAATGTTCAAATGGATAATTTTTTTCATTTTTTGTTGACATTTCTTGTGAAAAATTTGTTGTAAATGAAAACGAAAGTTTTTTCTTCCACATAATGTCAATTTTTTTCAATGAAATCATTTTTGGCTGAAAGAAGCTCAAATTATTCATGATTTAATTGTTTTTGTTTCCAAAATTTTATTTCCTTCGACTTTGTATCGTTTTCGAGTACTGGCTATTTATTTTCGTTCAGTTCACTCGATCGCCAGAGATGAAGAACATTTTACAAAATTCCTTGGACAACAATTGAACCGAAACACAATCCAATACAAAAAAAAATAGAACCATTGAATGGCTTGATATCGTTAGCCTTTAAATTGTTTAGTATTAAATTCAATGTTTTTTCAATGCTGTCCTATATTTCGCTCTTAATTGAGTCAACTCAAAAATACGAATTTCAACAGTGATTTTCCTCTACAACACTTGAAACGCTTCTGTCAAATGTGCACAATTCTACGTTCTGAATAGAAACAGTTGCCGTTGAATAAAGTTCATACTTGTGACAATGATTTCATTTTTGCTCGATCGCCTATTCACAATCCTCTTCAAAGCATCTCATTTCTCAAATGGATGGAATCCAGTCCAAAAAAGGTCACACTCGTCATTCGTTTAATGGAATTTTTATGGGCATTTTCTATCAAAACGGTAAATTGGCCAATTCATTGGGTTACTACTATTTTGTGTGTGTGCGCGTGATGCAAAATGATGTTGCAGTTTTTTTTGTGTGTGTGTGTTTTCGGTGGAAATGTGCATCGAACATCACCATGACTTGAATCGGCCCACTTTCGGTTATGTCAGATTGACACCTGACAATGAATTCAAATGTTTGTTGGTTGGTATGGATGTGCGAGCCACATTTTCGATTCTCTTCGGCTCAATGGCCAATTAACTGTCTATCATTTTTCTCCGGTTCTTTTTCTCTCCTCAAAATACATGTTGCGCGATTACCGTTGCAATTTATTTTGTTGTGGTGCCACATGTATCACAAGTAAGTATTTCAATAAATTTCATCTAATAAAAGCAAGCACATACACACACCCATACATTTTCCAAGCACTAAACGAAAATTTCTGGCATAGTTTGTGCCGTTTCTTTCGTCTCAATATAGTGCCGAAACGATTCCAGAGCGAGCGAGCGAGAGGGTGAGAGAGAAGAAAAGTTGTAATCATCGTTCAATTGTTGTTGTTCCACATTTCACGTTTTTGGTTCTTGTTCTCTCTGCTCGCTACTTATCGTTTGTTCTATTCGTGCATTACATCTTTCTCTCGACCTCGGTATGTGTGTGTGTGTGTGTGTGTGTTATAAAATGAAACGGCGCACTTGAGTTTCGTGCATTCATCGTTGTCAACGTTGTTCATGCGGTTTTTGTTTACAACGAATATCTTTTTAACAAACAATCCCATTTGAAACGATGTGAACATAGCATAAGAATCTTTTGTACGAGTGACAAATTGGGTTGATGACGGCTTTTTTCGGCAGTTTGTTTTGCATCAGCAAAAAAATTGAACCATTTTCCCATGTTCGCCCCCTTTTGAAATGAACTCGGCACTCACAATAAAAACGATTTTATTCGAAATATTTTATTCACAATGAAGATTCGAAATGTTAACAAGGCTCGTTTCTTCTTCAAAAGAGATGATTTCAACATGAAATTTAAATATGATTTTTATTTTTGTAAAAGATGAAAAAAACTGCATTTTCTTCACCATGGTGAAATAAGTATTGTTGTAAATTCGATGTCATGCAGTTTCGATCGATCGACGTTTCTTCCGTTTGTGAATTAACAGGAAGTTCACGCGACCGCCGCCGGTACGAACGGGAGCAAGATCGAGAGCGAGAGCAGGAGAGAAAGAGAAAGACAGAAAAAACGCGAACACGAAAGTGAAGAACTTTTAACGAAATTAACAAGTGACTGGGCTTACAAAGCTGTGTCACTGAACCTGACTCGAGCGGTAATTGGTTTTTTGCTTCTCTCTTATTTCATCTGCAATATAAATATTTGAAGCATTCATAGAAACGTGCTCCTGTTCAACTGCAACAGCAGGAGTCTCAAATACCATGGTATTTTTCATGTTATTTGATGCATTCAAATCATTTTCTTCATCTTGCCACTCGCGCACACACACACATACACGCGCTCATACTTCTAGTGAAAAGTGCTTAAGCAAATCAGTGACAAATGCGCTCAAGAATTTTCGATGACTGTGGCAAGTCTTCTTTCTCTTGTTTGAATTTATCAGAGCCGTTGAAGATATGCTCAATTTTCATTCCATTTGTGCAGAAATGAATGGCACACGGAAAGGAAAACGATCCAGTATAATTCAAAGAGAATTCAAGGGAGAGAGAGAGAGAGAGAGAGAGAGAGATAGAGAGAGAGAGAGAGAGAGAAAATCTCAGTGATCTCAAAAACGATTTTACTGTCTATCAAATTAACAGCTGGACATGTCAAAGTATGCGAATTGTTTGATTCTTTGATGCACACATCGTTCAAATGCTGAAGACACAACGCATTTTAGACATTCCGACGACTAATTTGATTTCGTTTTAATTTCATTGTTATTTTTTTCTTTTAATTCTTTTTCACCTTTTTGGCATTTTTTCATACGCTTTAGTAAAACTTCTGAGTCTGAGAAGAAAAATGGTTTCCCATCGAACTGAATCGCATGATCTATCCAGAACCACCCTGTAAATACAAATTGTTAGAACCCATTTAAAAGTTATGCGTTATATTTTCTCCCATTGTCTCTTTTGATTTGGCCAACACAAAAGAGATCGGCCCGACCCAAGTGAGATCGTGTGAGCATTCGGTTCATGTTGATTGACAACTCACAGTCGTGTCGTTTGTCCATTGTTATGCAAGTCGAATCAAAATTGATCTCTATTAAGTAACACATCCGTTAATGAAAGAAAAATGTTTTTGTAGTACATCTCTTAGTCTCTTACTCTCTCTCTCTCTGTCTCTCTGTCTTAATATCTCTCCTTGTGTGAGAAATGCACTTAATCGAATGTGATTAGAGTCTCTATACAAAACCAAAACGAGAAGACGAAAAAAAAACAAATCATACGAATGCTTTTTGAAAATTAGAGCACATTTGTTCACGACTACCTTTTTCATGTTACACATTTTTTAATGTTTCGGTTAGTTTATCTCTATCTCTCTATTTTTCGAACACACTCAACGCACACAACACATACATTTTTGTAAGTATTTTGCTAGACGTTTTTTTCCGTTCGTTTTTTTTTGGAATCCTCAAAATCTCTGTTAAAATCGGTTGTTTTGGCTATTGTTGTTGTTTTGTAAATGAAACATGTTGCATAAACTGAAGCGCTCACAAATTCATCCATATTATCAGTAGTGTTTTCTTTTCTGTTCATGCAGTTTCCCTTTCATTTTTATCAGCGCGTTTTTTTATTATCCATTGGAATCAGTGATGAGCCACACACAGATAGAAAAAAACAGCTCGATTTCAACCCGATTATTTTGATTGAATTTTTTGGCTTTATTTTTTTTGTCAATCACTTCTTACATCATTTCATCATCTCATAGGCGCTTTGACCCTTTTTTTAGATCCACTTGAGATAGATTTATTTACTTTAGACGGTTCCGAAGAAAATTCAAAATCAATGAAAAAACGATACAGATACCGACAAGTTAAGAACATGGGTGAAGAACAACGATTGAAAGCAAACATTATAGATGCAATCGATACGATTAATCCGAACAGAATCTCGATCGAAAAGATTATTTTATAAAGGGAAACTTTTAATTCACAGTAGGAAAAAATCAATTTTTGAAGCGAATAATTGACATTTTTTACCAATTTTTGAACAAACACATGGATTTTTTACACGATTTAAACCCATAAAACTTCTTTGATGTGGCGTTTTTAATCAAAGATGTAACCAAAAGCCAACTTATGTAATCCTCGATATTTGAAACTGATTTTGTTCAATGTCCTTAATCAATATTTGTGATGCAAATATTTTATGTTCATGCACTCCTAGGGGCTTTTTACTCTTTTTCATATATGCGATTTGTACGGATAAACGCGCATAGATTGTGTGCCACAGTGAAGTGTGCCGAATTTTCCACATAGTCACGAATATTACGCATAGAAGCGAATACGCGTGCACATAATGACGCCACGATGCGATTTAAGACGTATCAACACAATGTCAACATTCTATTGTATCGTTAAGGTTCGTTCGAACAATATTTGACATCAACAATTTCTGTCTTTAATATTTATCAAATCTCTTGATAATGAGATTGTTCTTATTTGATGAAAATTGAATTTAAATATAACACAAAATTAAAATATAATAGCAAAGAATAAGAATGAAAACGAAAATCAAAATGTTATAGTATACAAATATTGAAGTAAAACCGCCGATAGTTTTGGTAGATATAAAAATCATTGAAAAAATAAGTGCGACGATTCATTATACTTGGAAATAGCATCTGGATTATAAATAATAAAAAAATCCATATGTACAAATGATTGAAGTTAACAAAAATGATCAGCAAAAAATGTGAGCCGAAATAAGTACAAATCAAAGTATTTCTTGAATTTTTACATGAAAAAAGTCGTTGCAATTTTGAATTCAAAATAGTCGATATTGTGGCGTGTGACCAATCAGAGAAGGAAACATTTTAGTAGGATTCATGCGAAATTATTCGCAGTATGAATGGTCTATGTGCAGTATTCGGACATCGAATGTGTGCACTTCTAACGAATAGGCACCGCATAATACGCATAGTACGAAGAAATCGGCACATACTATGAGTTGAAGCGCATATTCTTCGCATAAAACGATTTTTTTTCGAGTTAAATGCCCCTAGATGCACTCATTGACCATGCTCTCATTCACTAACAACATTTTTAGCATTCGTAAACAATTTTCATTTCACACAATAACTTTTGACACAACTTTCAACGAGGAAAACCACAGAAAATATGCCGAAAGAAAATCAATTCGGAATAATTGAAAGAAAATGTCAAAATTGATCTTTTTTGTGAGAAATTCTGTTTTTTTTTGTCTCTAACAAAACCGTTTTTTTCTCCGGAATAATAAAAATGAAATCATCAAAAGGAAGGAGTATTTGAACGGCGCGTCATATTTTTTTTTTCAATGCTCTCCGGAAAGTTACATTCAATTGTTTGACATGAGCAATTGAATGTGTAATATCTGTCTGATACCATGAGTCGATAAATAACAATTACGAACGATTAAAAGTGAATACAAAAGACACGATACATTCAAGCACAATAGCAACAACACACGAATAAAAAAATACCAACACACATCCAATAATAAAACAAAACATCTTTCATATCTTTCAAAACATCCCCCGCTATCTTGTATGATTTGATTAAAACCGAACTCTTTTTTTGTTTGGGTAGCGGATGGTTAATTTCCAAAATATCGTTTGACCATTGATTTTTTCTCATGATGTTTGAACATTGTACCCGTTTTCATTTTGTTTCGTCTAACTCTCTGTTTACTTTTCATTCATGCGTTTTCTTTTTGTTTGTGTTTTTATCTCGTCATTTTTATATGTGTTTTTGTTTTATCTTTTAATTTTGATTTATTTCATCCCCTTATCTCACCACAAAAAAAATCCAACTATTATTATTCATCATTAGTACCATTCCGAGGTCCGCCTAGATACAATCCACGTCGTCGATCTGGTATCGGATGGGCAGCGACATTACGTTCGGGCGGTCCACCGTCGCCATGTCCATCTGAGCATCCATTCAGTTCAGCGAGTTCCAGCCTGTCGGAAGGTTCAACAAGCAATCGTAGCCATGAGGATGACATCAGTATTGTAACAGGTAAACGCACGTTTGCCATCGGCCATCACACACACACAAACAAACAAACAAACAACGGAACAACTAATCACACAGACACAGACAGATACAAAAGTTAATAAATCCCTCGCGCGCAGAAAAAAAACGAAAATTTGTTGTTCAAATAGCAACGCGTATTTAACACAAAGGTCATGTGATTTGTCGTGTCGCGCACATGTCGCTAATAACACATCGGTCAATAAGTCCCGAGCCTAACCACCAAGTGGCAACACTAATGTCAAACCCATATCATTTTCGGAAACTACAACCTTTTTTAGGAATCCAGTCAAAATTTGAGCCAAATCCGACCATCAGTTCGCTAATTACAGCACTTTAAATGAAGCAATTTTCCAATTTTCCAAAATCATGGAAAAACTGCATTTCTCCTCTCGATTTGACACATGTATTCCAGAAGAAAAACGAGCAGGAGTACCAAACCCATACTATGATTAGTTTATGGCATCCTTAGGCTTTCGAAATCAATCATTAGATATGGAAGAATTGAATTTATGCATAGCCATAAGAGCGATTTTGTCGATAAGCCTCCAAATTGTTCAAAATATGTGGTTTTGGAAGAAATCATTGCCAAAATCCGTTAAGTGATATCGGAATTCTCAAATGTGATAGTTCATAGATTTGCTAAGGCCATAGGGCAACTAACTCAAGCTATAGTTACAACTTTGCATGGATATATGCATATGAAATACTCAATCGAAAAAGCCTTGCCGCGTTTTTGGATATGGAGTAGATAGAACAGTTTTTTGGGGATTCGAAGCCCGTTTGGAGCTGTATAAGTAAAATTTGAATAAGGTTTTGCCTTTATATATTAGAATTAATGTATTTTGAGTTCATTTGAATAGATTCGATCTATAAATTGCGGGTAGAAATCGCCAAAAACGGTTTGTAGCGACCAAGGTCGCAAAATATGAGTTCGGGCATTATTAGTGGATTTAGGTATAGAAAAATATTCGCGAACCAGTGGGAAAGATATAAAACAACATGAAAAGTCACTTATGCATCATTTTAGACCTATCCGAATGTCAAATCTTGATAAAACATAGCAAATTTGGCGAAGAAAACTATGTTGTTCAAATGCGAGTTTCATCCAGGTCAAAGAACTGTTTATATGGTGATATAATTGAACGAAATTGGTTTCAAACTGCTTCACTAACCATTGTATTTTTTAGGTCTGGTCATTCTCTGAACTCTCCACATGAATATACTTGAATACAATGCATCAGAAGAAAGTTATACCGTTTTAACGGCAAAATTGAAGCATTTTCGGGAGTCTTTCTCTCGTATAGCTGTAACTAGCAAACTGATGGTCGGATTTGGCTCAAATTTTGACTGGATTCCTAAAAAAGGTTGTAGTTTTCGAAAATGATATGGGTTTGACATTAGTGTTGCCACTTGGTGGTTAGGCTCGGGACTTATTGACCGATGTGTTACGACTTTCTCACACACGAAATTCATTGCTAATAAACACGAGACACTCTTTTTCTCCTCATCATTCTAAGTAGAAACTTAAACGAATGCACAACAATACTGTAACTAACAGATTTGCATCCAGTTCGGGAAGAAAAAAAAGAAGAGAATTCAGGTTCTTCGATAAATTATTGACGCGCGTTGCTGAACTGCGCAACAATGAGAAAAGGAGATCGATTGGAATCATCAAGAAAACCATTTTAAAAATTCATTTGATCATCCATTTGTGTTTTTTTTTCATTTCGTTCAACTTCATTCAACTTTTAGTTTGCATTCTTCTTTCCATAGGAAACAAATGAATCTAGATAATCAATAGAATGAATCATCAAAACAGGAATGCATTTCGAGAAAAAAAATTGAACCTAAATATTTCAAAACGCATTTGCATGTCTGTCAATTTTTTTTTTCTCGATATAGTGTAGCGTGTCTTCTTTTTTCTTTCTTTCATCTTTTTTTACGTTGCCAATGAGATGAAAATTAAGAAACAATACCAAATCCAGAATCGTTATTGTTGCATTTGGCTATTAATATTTCATATTGTATTGATCTCGTTTAGCTCTTCTCTATTTCTCGATAGATATATCGTTGCGTTTTTTATTCTCTTCATTTTGTTTCGACTTCGATTTACATTTGGAATGAAACTAAATGTTAGAATGCTTTTGTATTATGTAAATATTTTATCGACAAAACGGTTAGGGAAATATTCAAAAAAAAAGAAGAATAAAAAACTGTTTATTCACGGAATAATATTCAGTTCTCTTTTTTTTTCTTTTACATATATATGTGTTTATGTGACGACGCTGCGACCAAATTTTACCTTGAACCGTTTGGCTGAAAAGTATGATTTATTTATGTGTGTTACAAAATGGCACACATTTTATTTTTGTTTTCGTCGGTGCGGATAAACGGTTCCCAATAAAAATTACTATTCCGGGTCTGAAAGAAAAAAAAAAATGGAAGGAAACCCAGAAACGAATTATTTTTTTTTTCTTTCAAAGTTTAAAAAAATAAGAAGAAGAAAATAGAAATAAAAATTGAAGGAATAGACGAAGAAAAACAACTCTTCAGAATGGAATGATTCCGATGAAGTAGAAAAGAATTCTGAACAACGAACACTCGTTGTAACATTATTGCGTTCGCGTTGCATCAACGTTATTTGATGATGGGTCAAAGGATTTTGCTATCAAGAGGAGAAAAATGATTTTCCCTTTTCTCGCGAGTTAAATCCTTCATTTTTCATTTCGTTCTTTTCGAAATCTTTGTACTTTTCCCATTTGAACGATCGAATCTAAAGGGGAACATTCAATAGCCCTTGAGTTTGTAATTCGAGTTTCGAGAGCATTAATTTCGAAATCTCTATTAGAAAGAACCTAAGTGCTTTGAAGCAATTGACTTGGATCTAAAATGAAATCAATTTCAGCTGTAAAGACAATATTTTTTTTCTATCAAGAAATCATATCCTTCGAATAAAATCTCTCGTTTACAATTCCCTTTGACGCACATTTTCTCACACGAGACAAAATGTCGTCATTTTCATTCGCTTGATTCATGTTTGAAACATGATGTTTCATTATCTCACTCACTCTCAGCCTCATAAGCACAATGCCCGACGAAATTGGTTGAATTTTCATCGCTTGCTTCCACCGTCGCCGCCCCTGTGGTGGAATACGCTTCACTTTTGCTTACACAAAAACTATAATAAATTCTCTGCACGGCAACTGGGTAAAAGAGCAAATTCATTATTTGTCCTGTTTTATATAACTTTTACTCAAGTAAAACGGTATATTCATTAGATAACAGCCAATTAATTGGATTAATTGAAGAAGAAAAAGTGCATGTAATTGAAGAGAGCAAGAAAGAAATAGAAAGGACGCCAATTATTCTACAAAACAGAATATTTTCCATATTTCCATATGAAAGAATGGTGCCTTTCCATCTGCCAGCGGCTAGCCGAAAAAAAAGGTTCTCCCTCGCTTCAAGCCATCATCTCATCTAATTTATGACCGCACGAAAATGCTCATTGTATTATTCTCGTTTTTACTGTCGGTTTTTATTTGCGTTCTGGGATGTTGGAATATTCTCTATCTCGAAACAGCTGATTGGAATCGCGCTCATTTGTTGATTATTATTGATTTCATACATTTTCGATTTGAAGCGTCAATATTTTTGTTTACACAGACATTTTCGATCGAGTTTTGGTGTTGTTTTACCAAATACAATTTCCAATTGAAATTGCTTTTTATTGTTGTTTTCATCGATGATACCATAAATAGCATCGTCAATATGAAACGTTTCCCGTTGTAAAATAAAATGCTATTTTCATAATCTCGTATAACATATATCGGAATGAGCAAATAACTTTCGACGCGATTCAATTTCGTTCTGGGAAAAGTCATAAGGCAGATTAAATTAGCAAGGGAACACGCGCGCCAAAATGCCATTGCGTCTACTTTTCAGCCCAACGAGAATTGCCCCAAAAATGAACAAAATTGAAATGGATTTTTTTTTCCATTCAACAATTTATCGATCGTCTTTTAATCAATTTTAAATGTTGTTGTTTCCATTTTTTTGTTTGTTTATTTTTCGAATGGAACCGATTAACACATGTTTAGATAAAAGTATTGGCGATACAAGCGATATTATAAGCGATTCATCGGGCGTCGGGACCAATTCGGATAGTGCCGTTTGCTCAATAGGCCATCCAAGTACAACAGTTGTTTGCATTGAACCGTACTCCAGCTCAACCATTGGTCATCTATCGATTCAAACTGGCGAAGTCATTGAAGTGCTAGGCTCGACCGATTGCGGATTGCTGGAGGGATATGTTCGTGGTACGAACCGATCGGGTTTCTTCCCCGTTGATATCGTGCAGGAGGTGAATATACGACAGAAAAACGTCACTAACGTTTCCACCGAACAGAGAAGCACCTTTCAGAAACCACAACCACCGCCACAGCAACAACAGCAAAATCAAATGGAGAGCTTTTGCGTAAGCATCACATAAATAAATACAATTGTTATGAAAATTCGATTTGTATCGATTTTTTTTGTTGTCAATTTAAATTGCTTGAAATTGATCAATTGAATTGATCCTAATTTTCATCCATTTCCAAGCAGCAACAGCAGTCACCAAATCAACAACAGAGCATCTATCAAAGAAACACCATCATTGGTTCGGATTCAATTGAACAGCCGTTGCCGGATGAATTTATTGGTAATGGACAACCATACAGCAGTGCAACTGCACCGCGTCAGAAAAAACTGTAAGCACAACATTTATTTTTATTCAAGCTCGGAATATTTCTGTTTTGATTTTCATTTCATTTTCTTCGTGTTTTTATTTCAAATGGAAATGGAAATGTTGATAGTTTTTCTCGTTTTTTTCCTGCTCAGTTTTACTTTTCTGCTTTTTTATTGGGTCAATTCGAAAGTTTCCGCCGTTTTTTTTTGTCTAAAAATACATTTATTGCAAAATAAATTGAAAATGTACATTAACCAATGTATTCGCCATCGTTAGCTATGACTTCCCGCCATCTTTCTGGCAGCTTGTGGATTCCTCGCTTGAAGAAGTCCTCGTCTTTTGAGGTTATGTAGCCATCAACCCATTTTCGCACTTCCTCCTCATTTTGAAAGCGTACTTCAGACAGGGCAATCCGCATCGATTGAAATAGATAGTAGTCGCAAGGAGCAAGGTCTGGAGAGTACGCGGGCTGATCAAGCCGATCCCAACCGAGCTGCTCTACCTTATTTTTAACGATTGTTGCACGATGTGGCTTAGCGTTGTCATCGTGGAACAAAACATTGTGGTGTTTTCGAGCTATTAATGGCCGTTTTTCATCCAATGCATGAGCAAATCATTCAATTGGCGTCGATAGCGTTCCTTATTAATCGTTTGATCTGGTTTTAGCAGCTCATAATACACGACTCCTTTCATATCCCACCAGATGCATAGCATAACCTTATCGCAATGAATATCTCGTTTTGGCTGGGATGGCGCCGGTTGGCCGGGATCAACATACGCTGCTTTACGCTTGGGGTTTTCGTAATAAACCCACTTTTCATCGCCGGTAACAATCCGATACAAAAAACTGTTTCTTTTGTGCTCTGCAAGATGTTTTGTGCATATTGCGATTCGTGCTTGAAGTTGCTCTTCAGACAATTGATGTGGAACCCATTTTCCCAGCTTCCGAATCTTTCCCATGGCGTGCAAATGTCTGAAAATGGTTGTTTGGCCGACGTTTAACTGCAATGCAAGTTCTTTTTGCGTTTGGGTTGGGTCTTCATCCAATAATGCTTGCAAATCGACATCTTCAATCGCTTCTGGCCGACCTGAACGTTCTTTGTCTTTCCAGTCAAAATCACCACTTTTGAATCGATGAAACCATTCTCTGCAGCTTCGTTCCGATGGAGCTTGCTCGCCATAAGTATCTGACAGCATTCGATGAGCTTCAGCGGCAGTTTTCTTCGAATCAAATAAGAAAAGAAGGGTCCCCCGAAAAAACACCTTATCACGATCCATTTTCAATCGATTCAAAAACAATGACGCAGAACGAAAAATGAATCTTTCTGCTCTGAGTTAGATTGCTAAATGTCACATCTACAAAATGCAATTGGATTCACTTGTCAAGCTACGCTCAGTTACAAGTGGCGACATTTAAATGTCAGCGGCGGAAACTTTCGAATTGACCCAATATTTAAATTAAATGAAAATACTAAACCCAATTTGTTTGTGATTTGATTTCAGTGGAATAATGGAAGCGAAAACCGTTGTTCTTCATCGTGCCAAACGGGGATTCGGTTTTGTATTGCGTGGTGCTAAAGCGGCATCACCACTTATGCAGCTTAAACCGACTGACCGATGCCCTGGGCTACAGTATTTGGATGATGTGGATCCAGGTGGTGTTGCCGATATGGCCGGTCTGAGCCCTGGCGATTTTCTGTTAGCTGTAAGTATAAAGCTGACCGAATAAAGTAAATTAACTACATTTCAGTTTGCAACTCGAGCAACAAATGTATTTTTATTGCACAAAGAGAAGCAATTTTCTGAAAATAATTGAATCTATTAAATAGAAACTATTTATAATGTTGAGAATTCCGTAAATTTACAGAAGATTTGTTTGGAATAATATTCCAACGGAATATTGTTCTTTGAGATGATTCACTTATATAATAATAACAAAGATTCCAACAAAAGGAACTTCAAACAGTAGAAAAGATAATAAGTTTTAATAAAAAAAAAAAAAACTTTTTCTTCCAGATAAATGGCGAAGATGTCCGATGTGCATCTCACGAGCATGTTGTTGATTTGATTCGTTCATCTGGTTCACTTGTCACAATGACCGTTGTTTCGCAAGTGTTCCCCAACAACTTTCAACAGCAGCAACAGGTAACAAAAGTTCTATTAAAAGTTTCATTCTATCTGTTAAGGATTTGGACGAACAAATGGATTTGAAAAGCGAATTGAAATCCGTAAAATACTTGATTCATTTGTTTGACACCGTCAGATTCAATTTATCATCCATATTGTCAACTTTTCATTTTCATTCAGTGATTGAAGAGTTAAGTCAGAGCATTCAATTCAAAAACTAATTATGACATTGGTTCGTTACAGCAACAGCAACATTTCTCGTCAGCGATGAATGCAAGACAGTGCGCAACATTGCCAAGAAAGATGACACTTGGTGGCAAACTACCAGCACCAATGCCACCGCGTCGTGATCCAAAAACCACACTTAGTGTTGGCCGAGCACGAGCCAAATCAATGGTTGCTGGACTCGAAGGAGGTAATTTATTGTATATTCCAATTTTATATACCTCGGTTACGACAATAAATGCAAGTTCATCGGACTTATAAGTGCGTTTTCATGAATGAAAAAATGACTTGATTTCGATTTCGTGACTTTCATATCAAAACGAACACATTTGTATGGAAAAAGCGTTCAGATTTCATTTTATCGTGATGAAACATTTTGAAAGAGAAAAAAAAATGAAGAAAAAAATAATAAAATATTCGCAACATTTGAAATAGATGACGATGAATTGCCAACGACACTAAAATCCAGTTCCGTTGAGTCAGTCCATCAACAGTCGCTGTCATCGGCTTCGACACCAACTCAAGGTGGCCCTGGCACACCAGTGCAATTGCGTACCGCTAGCATCAAGTCTCGTCCCACATCCAGTCGAATCACGGCAGCAGAATTAGTCGAACTGTTCCAACGACAGACTGGTAGGTTTTCTATCGAAAATTCGTATTTCTCCACATTTTTGCCGTTCTTTCCTCTCTGCTCGTTGTGAAGAAATCTCCTAAAATGTGGAAAAGATTTTGAGAATTTCGTTCTCAAGAATATTTAACCCATTTTGGGCCGTGATTTTTCTGCTGGCTAAAATAACCTGAAAATTGGCACAGAAGCTAGTTTTGGCATAAATATGAAAAAAAGATTTCAACCTTTCGTCTACTTGTAAAAAAAATCGTGACCTCTAATCCACACCCTAAATATTAAAATTAGCCAAAACGCAAAAACAAGTCGATTAGATTTTGACATAAACTACATTTTCTCTTTTGGAAATCTTCAAAAATGTTGTGTCTGAATGGCTTCAGGTGGGGGAAATCTGAAGCGTTGCGTTTTCGCAACGCGGGGCCAAAATGGGTTTATCAAAAATATTAAGAAGCATACTTAAAATTCATGAATTTTTTCTTTAATTCTTCTCAATCACAGGTGGAATTGGCGAGAATCGTTACTCAACGATGATGTGTAGTTCGCGCTTCCAGTCGAACAATGATACGCCACCGTCATCACCGCAAAAAGGACCAATTGTGTATGCGAGCGTTGCTGAAATGAAGCGAAAGAAAAACAAAATGGGAACACTAAAAATGGGCAAACCATGCGCAACACCGTGCATCGAAACCGATTTGAAGCGTTTCCATAGTACGCCCGATCTGGCGACCGGTATAAGTCAATCGAATGCATCGATATTCGCACAGGCAAACGGCTTCAAAGGGCATCGATCGCAAGACGATATGTATTCGTTGCATTCGTCGATGCAACGCTTAAATCTACCACCTCCGAATCATCCACCGCCACCGCCGCCAATCGGTCAAGTCGTTAAAGTGGACGTGTCTCGCAAATCTGAATACGAAAGTACGGTTCAATTGCAAAAGCAATTGCAAGCGAAAGCCATTAACAGCAATTCGGCCGATGTATTTGGCAGTGAGATTCGTTCCAGTTTCAAACCCGCCACCAATGCCAAACTGTATGCATGCCCACAAACACTGCGAAATGTCGCTTATAGAACGGCCAACGAAATTGCAGCAGCAACAAACGAACAAAATTGCCAGACTGTGGTGAGTATACGTGCACAAACAGGCACACAAACACATACGAACACGGGAACACCAATTGTGTGTAATTTATGAATGCGAACTGTGCCCATTTGGGAGGGGTTTCGGAATTCGTGATATAGAGCTAACAACGGAAAAGTTTGTTTAAGACAGTTTTAAAGGGTTGTTGCAAAACACTTTTCAATTGAGTCACTTTTTCAAGTTTTATGACACACTTTTGAATACACTCAGCAGGAGTTTGGCCCAAATCGAAAGAAGACGCAAAAACGATTTTAATGACTTTGCGGCTATTGTCAACCATTGCGATAATGGAATTTCAAACGACAATTTTTGTTTCCTCTCTTTTTCTCTTCGCTTTCAATTATATCACGATTTTTCATAAAAAATAAAATGGGAGAATATGGACCGCATGGGAGAATATGGACCGATTTTTTTGTTATTGTTATTCCATGGTGAGAGATAAAAACCGAAATTAAATTTCAATTTTGTGTGTTTCTGTGCGAACGAATATAGGCGAATCAGGTACAACGACCAACGGCAAATCAATATGCGCAACCAATTCGAGCGGGCACATTGCCACATCCAGTGCATCAGCGAGCATCGTTACCACAGTTGATAATGCCGCAAATTCCAGATCCAGATTATAGCTTGAGCGAATCGGACGGTGAAGACGAGAATTCCGTTTTGGTGGCACACAACACCAAAATGAACGAACGAATTGCCATACCGGCCGAAACCAGTGGCAACAGCAATGCAAGGTATACTCAAAAACTCATCAACTCACATTGAATAATCAGTTCTTTTTTCTGTTTGAGTTTTTTTTTTTTGAAGAACAAAAATTATCGTCCATAAGTAAAGTACTTTTTTGTGAAATCACTTATTAGATCACCTTCATTCCACCCTTAATATAAGTGTTTATTTTGTGTTTATGTGTGTGTGTGTGTGTGACTAACTCACTTTTGTCATTCTATTGCACCGTTACAGTGGAAGTAGTTCAGGATCGGGTGGTTCGATTCCACATTCGTTTTCAGTGGATGAGATTCAAAAGATGCGTGTCAAATTGAAGTCATCAAAATCGTATCCAAACGAGTTGGTGTTGAATCAGCAAAATACTGACCGAAACGACAATGATAAAATGCCCTCGACGAAAATGTTGTCAAAAGATACGTTGTCGGCAAATCATGATGAATGCGATAATTCATCGTCGGGTGTGTCATCCGATCAAGAAGTCACCGCTTCCAATGTGAAAACCGTTGTCAAAACAACGACGGCACCAATCAATTCCAATAAGATCATAAGCACAAATCCGATAACAGAGAATAAACATGGCATTTTGAAAAATCATCATGTGACTAATAAAAATGTTGTCACAAATGCACCACATCAACCACCACCACCACCATCCAATGCAAACAATGCATCAACAATGGCAATAACCACCAACACCACGACAAACGTTAAAATTGTCGAATCGATCAATAAAAAAGCGATAAATTTACCACCGCTGAGTAATGTCACAAAGAAAATATCGGCCGCGGTATCGGAAACAGCGCAAAATGCAAACAATGATGATTTCGATGATTTTGACGATATTCCAGCTAAAGGATTCCAAAGACAGGTGTCGTTAACACGCAAACAGGCCGCAAACATTGCCATGAATCGACAAATCTATACCAGAAGCGCCGTTTCACTTGCACAGCTACCACCGCCCCTCGAAGGTGACAGCGACGATCCCGATCACCAACAACAATCCGAATGCCGCAAAAATAACCTGAAGGTAATTTCAAAGCCAATTTCGTGTTTTTATTTACTTTTTTTTTTTTTTTGGAATATCATTTCACTCGGCCGTTTCGATCGAGTGCAATAAATGATTTTATGGACATTTAAAACGTGCCAAAACGTTGTAAATATACCCATATAATAAACAATTTGTTGGCAATAAAAAAAACAAATTTTACGAACGGCTAAAATACTGCAGACATATTCGAGAAAGTGCGACACAACGGACCAATAACAGATGTTCAATGCGCAAAAATTATTTATTGATGCATTTTAAAGGCATTTCAAAGAGAAAGAGGAAAATAGAATGGACATTGAATGAGAAAAAATGGAATCAAACAGAAATCTAGCCTTCGTTGCTTACGTTTTCTTTCTTTCTCTCTCTCTCTCTCTCTCTCTCTCTCTCTTTGGGCATTCGGCTGATAAAATCATCGTGAAATTTGAATATTAGAATGAACGAATAAGAAATCGACCGGAAAAGCTTAGAAAATGAACGAAAAAGGCAAAATGGTGAAGAACAAAACAAAAAAGTAAAGGAAGCATCACCCGAAAAAACGTGATGAGAAAGAGAAAAAGAGAGAAAAAGGACGTGCGAAAAAATGGTAAAACAGAAAAAAACACAACAAATTAAAAACCAGAGGGAAAAATGTCTGAAAAATTGAAAAATGAAAAATATGTGCCAAAAATTCAAATTAGTCTTCTAGGTGCCAGACACTATAAATTTTGCGCCAGAATCGGAGCGAATAATGGCACTGCGATATATCTGCCAGCCGAAAAAAAACAGTAACAGCACCAAATTTAATAACCGATTAAATAACATATTTTTGTTTCTCCTTTTCTCTTCAATTCTACACAGAATGCTCGTAATATCGTAGGAACACGTGTAGTAAATGCATCGGCATGCAATAAGAATAACAACGATGAATCATCGCCATCGTCACAGGATATTGTATTGGCACCGCCGCCCGAATTTTCCGATTCGGTGTGCACGAATGCGAAGTGTTTATCAACCAATAATCCGGGGCAAGCAGCAAATATGACTGGACGCAGCGTTCGAATAGTGGGCGCTGTGCCAAAATTAAGCCGATTACAAAGTCACTAGAATTTCATTTAAGAGTTAAGAGAGAGAATAAAAAAACACATACACACAGAAATTAAATAAAAATAAAGCGCTATAAGTAGCACGTAAAATTTACATTATTTTTATAGAATTAAACAAAAGAAAAAGAAGGAGAAAAAACAGAACCCATTTTTTGCTTCATTCATTTTTATTGTGCATGGCATACGAAAAAAAATACATTCATAAATACACAAACACATACAATTTTCCTATTGAGAATCGAACGAAGTATTCAAAGCTCATGATTTTAATATGTACGATTTAATTTTACGTTCTTCTAAACAACAACAACAAAAAATGAATTAAAAAAAAATATTTATTGGAGATTGTTCCGCATTAAAATATGAGAAATTATGAAAGAGAATAAAAAAAATTCGCTCTTTTAGTAACCATGCAACATATTTGAAAATTTAAAAAAAACACACACTCACGATAAATATGGAATAAAGTGAATAAACAAAATGTAATGTTAGATGTTCATTTAGCCCGATCAGATCAAAAATAAATTTAAAGAAAAAAAAACACACACACAAAAGATGAAACTATTCGAAAAATGATTAAATGTATAACATACTAAATATTTATATGCATATATTGTATACTTTTCATTCAGAAAAAAAAATGGATTCAAATAAATATTGTTCACACACTGAAAACGTAGACAAAAGTTAATACAAACAACCATTTAACGGAGAGAAAAAAACGTTGCACACATTCAAGAGAGAAATTATAAATTATTGGCAAATCATTTGAATCGAAGGCGTATTGAAACACCTATCAATCATTATCGGAAGTTCCCATTTGGATCAACATGTTTCGTAGAACCAAAAAAAAAAAAATTAGTAAGCATCTAAAGGAGTCTAATCATTAAACGAACATACAGAAAAAGAAATTAAAATTAATAACTATTAAATGAGATCATAAAAAACAAATCCAATGGAATCGAATTCTTGTAAATGATAATTTTGTGTCCATTTCTTTGAACTTTAGAATATGATCACTTCTTTCGTTTTTTTTCGCTAAGAATTTCCTCACAAAACAACAAACGAACCCCAGAACATAGAGACAGATCATTCGTACAAAATATTGAAAATATCCAATCGAATTGGATGTATAGAGGAGATAAAACAACATTATTGTAGATCATAGCACCAACAAATTTAGTAAAGAATTTCACTGAAAAAAAAGTCATAAACTAGCATCGCAATCGAATTTTAGATAAATCAATCAACATCTACTATATATGTAATTTGCTAGTGTAATTGTTCGGATTTTTTCGACTCGAAAAAGAAAAAAGCAACGTCAGCGTAATCAACAAGTTAAAAAAAAATTTCGAGTACCGAATTACAGGTGTTTTTTGGAAGAACAAAAGAAATATACACATGAGCCTGGACTATAGACACATATTTAATCGAAATTGAAACTGCCAATAACAAACAACTTCCGAAGTGCTCCCAAACCATTTTGAAATTTGATGACTTGACCCACACACTCACACAACATTTCAAAGAAAACAACATGCTTTAATCCAATAGACAGTTTCCATTAGAAACCAAATGAAACGAAATGAAGCAAAAATAGGCATAAATTATATCAAATGAAATTCAACAAAAAAAAAAACAAAATACAAATAAATTTACACACACCATTTACATATAGTACTCATCGAACAATCGACCGATTTTGGTGTGTTACACGTTTACACTTTATATACTCCTTAGATCACAATTTCACGCTCACAACAACGGTGTACCCATTCCATTTTCTTTATTGATCACGTCATATTCTTCTTTTTTGATACCTGAATCTGAACAATTATTTTCAATAAAAATAATATTCCGTTCAATTATACGTTTCTTTTGCTATGCATTTTCTTATCAAACAGAACAATACCCGATCAATTCATCTTCAGGTAACGACTTCTTCTACTTTCAACTAACCGTTTGTAAAATTTGACAGAAGATCTTTTTGTTTTGGAATTGGCTTGCCAACTGTGGTTTTATTTTTTTGCACTCAAATAAAATAAACTGTGAAATTTTTATGATGTTTAAAATCAAAATTCAAATAAATTATTGAAATTAAAACCAATTGGAAATAATAATATAAATTGATATATTGAAAATAGCAAAAAAAAATAATGTTCAAAAAATTCATGCGAACCGAATTATTGAAGAAAAAAATTACCATTTGCGGCTTTGATCACAGGATTCAACGGATTCAATTTCGATCTAATAAAATTGAGTCGACGAATGTAAGTTAGATATTTTGTCGAGAGAAAATGAACAAATTTAATTCATCAGCAGGAAACAGAATCAATCTGAAGTTGAATGGCAACTAAAGCATTCTTTATCGACCTTGTTAACAAAAAATTGGGCGCAAAATTGGTTCAATGAATGGAATGAAAATATTTTCAATGCTGAAGAAAGTGTCTTTATTGCCTGTAGCATAGAAATTGTTGGTTTGTATTGCGTGTAGCCCTTTTGGGGGCCTAGCAGATCCGTTATGCATCAGTTACTATTTTTAAAACATTTATATTTTCAAAATCAAGCATCGGAAAACTTTTGTCATACACGCATTGAGCAGTGGTAATGCCCACTCGATCAGTTAGTTCAAATTCGATCTGAAATGCTGTTACAAAATTTTCATTTCATTTCTTTAAATTTCCATAAAAAAAATTTCTTCTCCATTTCCATTTTGGAGAAAAACCTGAAACCACTGTTAAAATGATCGATATCGATCGATCATTTAAAAAAAAACCCTATTGTATTGAATCCGATCATAGGCAAAAAATCTAAAAAACACCTGCGTTGCCAAAATCGATGCTGACATTGAGAATAATGCAATCGGTGGTGATTGGCGTCATCATTTAATTTTTCTAAGGTAATATATTCACACAACCACACATACAATCGTTAAGCGGCTTTCATTCAATTTAAACACTAAAATGATGTTATTTCATTACAGAAACAACGAAGGTTATCTTTATGTAGCCAACAACGTCTTTATATGAATCTAAGAACTGAGCACAGAAAAAAAAGAAAGAGAAAAAAAGCAAGCGAAAAAGAAATCGACTCGCCCGATAGATTTAGTTTTACCCATTATGGAATATTTACTACTAATTACATTAGCAAAATTAGTAAAAGTCTTACTAAGTCTTTAGTGTATTATTCCCTTTGCGATATCGGAACTGGGCTTTTTTTCTCCGAACACCTTCAATTGAGGTCAAATAACGAAGCGCTTTCGAAATATTATCGCGAAAGGCATCCAACGCCATTCAAACGAGGGGAAAAATGAATACTTAGTAAAAGCATAAATGCAGTCATTTTTATTTAAATTGAGAAAAAGAAGATGAATTGATGAACATTGTAACTTATTTTAAAATAAAACCATTCTCAACTTGATAACCATTATATTTAGATATCAAAATGACGAGCAGAAGAAGAACGAGGAAAATTCCATTTGTTTATTTTATTACTAAAACATATAGGAAAAAATGATTCAAATGGTATATTTAAACGCGGATTAGAGTATGTGAGACTCATACAGACATAGAGAGAGAGAGAGAGAGAGAGAGAGAGAGTAACCAAAAGGAAGGAGCACATAGACAGACACAAAATCATACCCGTGTGGTCGATTAATTTGGGACATTTTGACTGACTAAAAGTGATTGTCACGAACAAAATAAGCAACTGCAGTTGACTTTTATCACAAATCACTCTTAGTCAAAATGTGCCAAATTAGTCGACTAACTGAAAGAATAACTAAACGTGATTGTCTCCATACAAAACGCATGATTTCAATCAACTTAGCTAGTTCTAGTTGTATATCACTACATACAGTTACATACAACTGAGTGACTGTTAGTCATTTTATTTGCACACGGGTATACTCATCTTAGGATTTACATTTATTGATCATGAAAATTCAATTACACTGTAAAGAGCTCATGAAATAAATCTTATTTTAAAAACTAAAACCCGTCAACCGAAGGGTGTGTGTGTGTGTGTGTATGCGCTTTTTTGTGACATGGTTTTGATGTGATATGTGGTTGGTTTTGAATTTTAATTAAATTTGATGTGTATGTTGACGTTGATGGGACATTTGCCTCGGATGAGTTGCTTCGCTTCTTTATTCATGGCAGATGGACGGAAAATACTATAAAGTTGAGGCCGTTTCAAGCAGTCATTGCGGGTAAACGAGTAATAACCAGCTTCATCTTCATTCCTCTTCAATCAGCTTGTGTATTGCGTCACAAAAATCTATGGCCCACTTGAAGCCCTACAAATCTATATCTATACATGGTTCAACTGAAGCATGATAGACTTCGAACGAGAGCCAGTTAGGCGCAGATCGGTTTTTTTTGTCGCTACTGTCATTACCTTCTTCTTTTTCTCCAAACGCCAACTCGAGGACTTTTCGATATATATGCAGCATTCAACAACAATCATCAGACTTTCAAATACAAATATGCCATATTCGGTTCACATGTCAATGAAACGCTAAACATTTTCGTTTCCATGTAATTGATTTTAATTCAACATTCGTTTTTTTTTAAATGGTCATTTGAACAGTTTTTTTTTCTGACAATATTTTTAATTTGATTAATTTTTTTCTATAAAAATAGTTTTAACTTTTCCCCCTTTAAAATACATAAAAAAGACTATAACAACAATTAACGGTGGGCTTAATGAATACGTAAATAATCGGAAAATAATTGGTTCATTTTTTGCTGTCTTTTTTTTGAGTATGCAATTTCGCACCACTTTGGTCATTCGCTTAAAATTAAAAAAAAAATTATAAATAATCATTTCGTAAATAGTACGATATTCGAGCTGAGAAATATGCAATTTTGTCATATAAGTATATAAATTTGTTTGCCGTGGCTTGGATAAACACATTTGAAGTTCATTGTTGCATTGATTCAAATGTTGCTGCGGATGTCATTTGGTTGCATTTTCCACACGTGCCATTGCTGTATCTGCTCAGATCACATGCCATACTCGAAATCGAATCATTACTGTGGTTGGCTAACTGCTTGATTGCCGTATAACCGCCGCATTCATTGATTATGCTTGATATTTTGTGGAATGCACAATGATCTTTACGGTAAAAGTCACCCAGAATGTTGTTTAGTATTTCGAATGAGGTCTGCAAATGGAGGGAATTATGAAAGAAAAATTAAATGAAAGTGACAAAATTTGGATTGGGGAACATAATTGCAATTGACAATGAGTTTATCACAAATCATACATTTTTTTTAAAATGTCATTTTCGGTTGAATTCCTTTCACCCAATATTTAATGAACCAAAATCGTTTTTATAAACAAATGAATGAATTGAACTTCATAATAAATGTTTCTGATTCAAGTCAAAATGACTTTTCATCCCAAATGTCAAATGATTCATTTCTTTGATTCAGAATTAAACGTGCTCAATTTGCATGTGATTGTAATTGGCTGACTTGTTTGAAATGGAATGAAAAAAAAAAGTTTGAATGCTAGGTGGACCTACTTCTAAAATGCCTTCATGCATATTGACTTGGTAATTGAATTGATAGCACAATAGATGCAATAGATCAAGGTCAAGTAAGACTTTGATTTGTTCGATACTGCCCAGCGTGGAAATGTTGTAAAATGTGTTGAGTACGATTTTCCTTAAATTATGATCGACATGGCCGGCTGAAGACTTGAAAACTGTAAGTAAATAGATTCGAAATAAATAGGTAAAATCAACCATTGATTAATTAATTAAATTAATTCTTCTAATGACCAAATATTAGTTTCAATTAAAATCAAGATGGTTTGATTATAATCAAGAAATTTTGAAATTAAAAAAGAAATCCAAAATAGAAATAAATAAAAAAAAAGGAATTCAATCAAAACTGAAACTTTCTCGATCTTTACAATCGATTCATAAGATAAGCTGTAGTGATTATGAAAAATCAATAGGAACTTAAAACCAAATACTTCTCGGAGAAAATTGCATCTTTTATGAATTTTGGTTGATACAATGATTTTTCAAATCTTTCTAGTATTGATAAAAAAAAGACTCTTTCCACAAGAACGTTTAAAAACTGAAAACTTGACACAGAAAAACACAATTTCACTGTACCATTAACCATTGGTGAAATGAGATCAGCATCAATAACGGCTTGAATGTCGCTGCGATGATTGCCGCAAATATTCTCAACAATGCAAAGGCTTTCTTCAACGAGTTCATAAGATGGCCCAATGGTATCGGTCAATTGATGTTTCAAGTGTTCGAGAAGGTTGTATTTGACTAAAAATCGTATATTCTCTGGAAAGCCTTTGCAAATGCTATTGAAAATTTTCAGTACAATCAACGATTCGGTCATGTCATGAATGTGTTGACCCATAAGCCAATGCATCAATGGCTCATGCTGGACAATGGCTGCGGTTCGTTCAAAGCGGCCCATTCCTTGTGTCAGCGCGAGTATTGTGTGTAAATTGCGTCGGATGACATCATGGCAATGGCCGAATCTCAAATAGCACAGCACAAATGTGTGCAGAATGTCTTTGTTTACAAGTATTTTGTCACTTTTGCATCGTTCACCGAATGTGTTCAGTAGCTGGGTGAGCAGTTCAGCCATCAAAATGCTAATTGAATTGACGTTTGGTCGAAATATCAGAGTGTCGCATTCAAAGTGAATGTTGCTGCTGCTACTGCTAATGTTGTTGTTGTTCAGTTTGCGTTCAAGTAGATAATTGATGCCAATTTCATTGAGAATGTAGCAAATGCTCGACACAAGTGCGTTGAGTTCATCGTTAATGTGTTCCAATAATTCGGCGGCCGATTCGATGCGCAAAAAATCGGCAATCTGTGGCGTTTGATTGAGCATAACCAATAAAAGTGCTGTGAATTTTTGTTCGGTTGTATATGCGCCATCGATAAGATGCAAATGCTCATAAATCGCTTGGAAATGACAACGTATTCGATCATCCGATGCAATAAAATGTTGAAAACGATGGCCTACAAATACTTGAGATCGTCGCGTCTTTCGTAAATCAAACATTGATTTAACACGACGATTTCTGGCCAACATCTGTATACATTTCAGAGAGAGAGAGAGGGAACGACAATGAAAATAAAACATTATTCCAGAAAATGCATATCGATGATACTCCATCGAATAAGAGAAAAAATGCATGAAAAATAAACTTACAGTGAATTTTACTTTATGTAAATTTGTTCCCATTTCTTACAAAATTTCCTATAACTTAGTGAGAATGAACAACGAAAAAACCAACAACACTTAATAAAAATTTATAGAGCTGACAGCACAATACAAAATATGCGAACGACTGTGCTACGAAAACAAATGCCAACGCACACACATACACCCGCAGCATGTACACTGTACGTATCAACATATAGTCCAACACAATGTCATGCGATGACAGCGCCGAGCATTTGTATGTGCGTGTGTGAGTGTGTACTACGATAGGAAGCACAACATTCAACAGGCAAAGCATCAAAATAGCACAAACAGAAGCAAAAGCAGCAGCAGTACTTGCGCTACATTTGTGTGCGTATGCACATTTTGTTGTTATTTGATATTTTGGTGTGCGGTTTAATTTTAAAGAGTACATTTCTCAAGCTGAGTCGAATATATTTCTGACTGGAAAGTGTACCCCAAACTAATGATTATAGATGAAGAATGAACATACAATCATTTTATGCTCGTTTTGCTTCATGCAATATTCGACAAAATTGCGTGTTTGTGGCGGCGAACAGCACATGCGTACAACAAACACACACATTTCGCTCGCATTACGGAATTTCATGTTTTTTTTTCTCTCGCTGCTCTTGCCAAGACAAAATATATATCATTTGATATGTAAACTGGTGGAAACATTGCGAAAGGAAATGTTGATGTCTGTAAATAAAAATTGATAAGAGTACGCTCTTTTTTTTTGGAGGCGAACGCAAAGTAAAAAACCATGTTTAATGGTTTCAATTGTCTACCTAAAGATATATAAACATGGTCTTTGGGCGAATTTCCACAGAGAATGAGATGGAAGGATAGATACACACACACACACACACACACACACACACACACACACACACAGAGAGAGAGAGAGAGAGAGAGAGAGAGAGAGAGAGAGAGAGAGAGAGAGAGAGAGAGAAAGAGAGAGAGAGAGAGAGAAACGGAATGTGTCTCATGTGGAACATCACCATCTTCCCCTTCTAAAAATTATAGTATAAGAGTGAAAAGATGCCATTCTGCGCACTACACACCAGAAACGAAGAAAAAAATGAAATCAAGCATGACCATATAAAATATTTTCAACGTCGGTTCGACCAAAAATATCCATGCCATGGAATGCGAATGCCTAACTGATAAAATCAAATCAAATAGAAGCGAATTGCGAATATACACACTAAATAGCATGGAAAAAGAGCGAGAGCGACGGAGAGAGACAGGGCACAATTTACATACCCAAATGCTTCTGATAAATGTTATATATACTATACATACCCCGAGTACGCAGTACTGCATGCTATAGCACGTCATCATCATCATACATTTTGCGCTTATTTATCCTCTCTCTCTCTCTCTCTCCTTTTCTCTAGCTCGTTCACTCGCTCTCTTGTTTGCAACTGTTATATTTATATGGGCTGGTAGTTTTTCGATCGGGAGGCTAGGAGAGCTACGAGTCCGCTCTATGGTGCTGGTGTTCTCTGTTCGTGTGATATATTTTGAAGGTGTTACGCTGACACAGTTCGGTTTTTGTGTGTGAATCGGTCATACAGACGATAATACCGCGAGAGCAAAGCAAATGCAAAACTGAGCGAGAGAGAAAGAGAGAGAGAGAGAAAGAGAGAGAGAGGCCCAAACACACAACGAGTTTTATCATGCATATGCAAAACAAGTATTGAATAATCGATAAGGTGGTTTTTGTGCTTACTTCGCTCTTCACGACGAGAATATATCTCGTTAATTCTTCTGTCGGTGTATGTGATGGTGCAGTTTGTGTATGTGTGTGTGTGTGCAGTGAGTGTCTTGTAATCTCGTTATATTAATCGAGTAAATTGGCGGTGCCTGTGCTTCGCTCTCACTCTCATCAAGCGCGAAGCACCAAAAACAAAACGACCAATACAATAAAAAAAAACAAGAAATCCAAATAACCTGAAACCAGAATGACTGAGAGTCGAACGATGGAACAATGGCCACGACGATGGTGACAACAACAAAATCGCTGGAGATGTAGCTCAAAAGTGGTAAATATGCTCCAAAATTATGTAAAACATGTTTCGTTCTAGATCAATTTGGTTTGTGCTTTGCGATTTCGCTCACAAATTTATGCATCGACGAAAGAATGTTGTGAAGAATGACTTTGGAATGTGAAATGAGCATGTGACAACTGTGATTTCTTTTATTGATTTTCACACATCGATTTATTGAGCGGTATTTTATTGCTCATTAAATTTCCTTCACTGCTTGCTGCTGTCGCTGCCTATGCTACTGGTACTTCTGTTGCTGTTTTATGTGCGAGATTCAAACGAAAATCATTCGTTTATTCTCTTTTTTTTCGTTTGCTATGATTAGTGTGAAAAGACATACAGAACCATTTTTTATTCGAAATTGCTGATGATACACACCGAACTGTACCATTTATTTCCCCTATGGGTATTCCATATTTTATGCATAGTTATGAACCGACGATCTTTTACTCGCTCGTTTGCACTGCCTTTTTTTTCTATTTCACACGACACCGTCGCTCGTTCGTTCGCTCAACAAAAACCTTTTTGTTGTCAGTTTGGGTCGTCGCACAATATCTTCCTCGGTGTGTTTGTCTGTGGTGGTTGTTGCTGTCTTATTTCTTGCCTGAAAGCTGAGAGACGAAAAATATGAAGAGCAACGGAAGGATTGAACACACAATCGAATTATGACATTCTGGAACGACATTCCGACATCGTAACAGCAGCCCAACAACAACAACAACGACCACGATGATGACGACAACATAAAATGAGCGTTTTAACGATAACACACGGTTGTACGATGATGCGTGGTATACCTTTGTATCCATATCGCTAGTACCCCTAGTAAAATGTGGAAAGTTGTGATGAAAACACACACATACACACACATACATACATGTACACACGAAGCACATTGCGGGTCGAAAGCGTTCGATGTCATTTGTACCGTTTGTGTGTCAACATCGATACGGTGGGAAAAGCGCAAGCAACATAGAGAATGGTTTCGGGAAAATCAAGCGTGGAAAATATAACAATAAAAAGCACGCGCTTGTATGATGGCGGTGCTGGTGGTTGTGCTTGTGCTTGCGTCGTCGGTGGGTATGGATATCATCGTGTTGTGATGTTTTCAAAGCTCGCTCGAAAAATGTGCGGTCGCAACGTGATTACGATATGCATAAAGTAGGAATTCGGAGTTGGATTTGAGAGAAAGAGAGACGGTAGCAGGGAGAAATAAATGGGCGAACCGAAGCGAATGAAGTGCGAGCTAATGCTTTTGTTAAAGCCAAGTTAGCATTCGCACTCGATTCTGTCTCGAATTAGGCTGGCCGTCGATTCGGTTTGGAGGAATCGATTTTCAAGGAGCTTCCACCGCAATCACACACAACATTCGATATTGTCGTACCTCCATAAATGATTGGTAAGCGCATATACGCTCCAACTCAACTCGATCCATTTCGTGTGCGGTTATTCCAGAGCGCGCACGCTGAAACCGAGAAAGGGATCAGCCTAACGAAAACCCAACTATATATATATATATATATATATACTATTCGGTCCGTGTACATACGTCAAGCTGGTTTGCGAAGCAGCAAAGACGCACAAACACATGTTCTGCATTTCATGCTCGCGTTCGCCGTTACTATATAGATATACAGATATATATTTTTCGGTATACACACAGAAAACGAGTGAGCAAACGAACGATGCGAGCGAGGGTGAGAGCAAGAGCGAGTGAGCAAGAGACTGACGGATTGTATATGTTGTTTGTATGTTGGTTTCTGCTATATGGATGTGTATCCAATATGCAATGTACATTCTAGGTTTCAATCAAACCGTTTCCATCGCATAAAAATCACTTAGAATCGCCAGGTCGGTTGATAAAGACGTGCTTTTTATTTGTTCCGTCTCTGTTGTTGTTGTTGTTACTTTCTCATCTAAACAACATCATAGTGTGGTGGAATCTCCTGTTCGTTCGAAGCGAAATTTCGTGTGTCTTGTTTTTTTTTGGCTGGCTGGCTGGCTGTTTCGTTATTTTGGAATTTTTGGTGTCTGAATTTTGAGTGAAGTTTTTTTTGTACGTTGATTGTTTGTTGTTGAGTTTTTTTTTGGTTTAACAACGTAAATCGCCGACAGCTTGAACCGAAATTAAAATTCACGAACTTTATCGAAACAAAAACAGAAACTAATCGACACAATTAAGAATGAATACAATTTCTCGAGTGTTTTGTTTTTTCGTCAAATCAAGCTGTTGCACCTGTTTCACTTAAACGTATATCGAGCAAAATGTATATATAGAGAGAGAAAAATAAACTGATATATATCAGTGCAACATTTGGCCTGGGTCAAACGGTTTGCCCCGCGATCAATTCCCTCTGTAATCAAACGAATTATTTGAATTGTTTGTTTATACTCTACGCGCCCGCTCGGTTTTTTTTCTCTGTTATTCTCTTTCTTCTCTCTGCGTGTGCCGCCGTCAATTTCCATTTGGTCTCTTTCATGCCGTTCATATTTCGTGTGTGTGGAGAAAATTGAATTGTTTTATTTCATGACTCGGCGCGTCGCACGACCACCGAAAATCCAATAAAAAATTTAGAGAAAAACAACACCGTTGTAAAGGAAAACACAGAGACCGAGAGAAGGAGAAAGAGAGTGTATGTGTGAGATGAAGAGAAAAAGAAATGGTTTTGCGTTATATTTTTGATACTATGACCTAATACAAACAGTTTTCAATTGAATGCGTTATAGTTTCGAAGCCAACAACAATAAATAAAGGCTACCTGCCTTATAATGGACAAACGGTTTTGTTTTCGGTACATGTGATAACACAGTGTGAGTGAGTGAGTGAGAAGGAGAGCAACGACCCTTACCTCTGAACAATCAGCACAATCGAGACACAACGCCGAGTGCATCGAAGAAATTGCAAAAGTCCCGAGCAATGAATGGAATTTCGGGTGCTCACTTTCGCTCTCGCTTTGGCTAATGCAAACGATGAGCTGCACTGGAATTGCGCTAATTGTTCGTTGTTTATTATTAGCAGAGTCGTATGTATTATGCCAGGGCCCATGATTATTATAGTTATGGTTGCAATCAAAAGTGCCTTACCGTTTGCATGCGTTTTCTTTTGAATTGCGCGCGCTTGCATTCACTGACATCGTTCCATAATCAAAACGAAATGAAAATTTTATACCTCGTATTCACAATTTTCGCTTCGTCTATATCGATCGTTTCGATTGAATCAACAAATAAATGATGGGACCTCATTTTCTCACTCACTCTCGCCCAGTCTCTCACTCACACACCATTCGCTCGTTCTCATTCATTCGGCCGACTCTCACAACTGCTGGGAAATGCTGTTGCTTGTTTCCCGTGCACGCTTTTGGTCAAGAATATAATCAGACTAAATTTCATGGGAAAAAGCCAGCGAGAGTGAGCAAGAGAGAGAAAAGGAGCTTAAAATATATCAATCAAGAGAAATCAAGTGTTCCGCAACAACGCAAGTGAAGAGCAATTTGTGTGTGTGTTTGTGTGTGTTCGAAAAACCCAACCACCAGAAGTTCAAGGAAAGGGAGAAAGAGAGTGGGAGTTTTCTCTCTGTGTCTCTATTGAAATAAAAACACAACAAAAACGAAACAAAACATTGAAAAAACAAAACGGAAAATTGCGTTCGGTTTTTCACTACCCGCCAAACAAACCACAGAAATCATTCACATTTTATGGATAAATCATGTACAATATCTCTCTTGTTCGTTGTGTGCCACTGGACGAGTAAATGAAAAGAACCAGAACGAAGAAAAAGCAGCACCAATGCAAGAAATTCCCTTGGTTGCTCTTCGAAAATTGCTTTGCACACACTGAGAGAGAGAGGGGGGGGGGAGTGAAATGGGCTAGCGAGAGTGAGAGTGGAACAATATAATGAACACAGAGTGAGAACGGGAGAAAGAGAAAGAGCCACAGAGCTGATATAGAACAAACAATGGGGGCTGCAAGTGCTTTTCTCGGTGTGACGAATTGTTGCGTATAAATCAGACACAAACAAAGAGAAATGGAAAATAATAATAAAAAAAAAGAGATATAAATGGCGTTTTTATGCCAGGCACATTTGTATAAAATAGATCGAAATGAATCAAATATTGAAATCGTTATGGATCGCACAAGTGTTTTCCACGTAATATCATTTATACCGCCGACAACGACTTCGACGACGACGACGCGCTCAGCACATGAAAATGGAAATTTCATTTGAAGTCGTGTACGCGACAACGAAAATGATCTAGCCTAAGTTGATTTCACTTTTCGCATGAAAATTCAATTTTCATTTACGATATTTCCTGTCGCGCCTTAGCTGAACACCTAATATATATGCCATGGCGGCAATGCGTGTCGACATTTCCAATTCCAGCGACACTCAAATTGATATACGAATTACTATACACCGTGCGAACTCAATTCATCTCGCTCAATTTCACTCACTGGGCTTTGACTGTGTGACGCACGCTCTCTCGGCTCAGCTTAGCTCTCCCACCATTCCATCATTCCGTTCTCACCGAACGTGCGTTGCGTCTATGCTCTTCACTTTTAATTATAATTAAACACTTAAATATTTATTAATTGAAACCATGGAGTGAACAACTTATAAAAATTGGTTCCATTACATTTTGTTGATTTTCCACAACAGCTTGTTTTGCTCTCTATCAACTTGAACGCAATGAAATGAGAACGAAAATAAGTTACATCGGAACATTTCTCATTTGATTCTTGAGCGTTTTATTAGATTCGTTTCTTAGAGTTTTTTTTCTGTTCCCTCTCGTATTCCTGTACTATTTCATTTTTCCAATTGCACCGAGAGATAGTATGAAAGCAAAATAGAGAGAGAAAGAGAGAGTGAGAGAGAATGAGGCACTTCAAGTCACAACCATTAAATGCAGGTGTTGGCATAAATATAGTGCAAAAATCAAATTATTTCCGATAATAAATCTGCTGGTGGGTTGAAACCATGAAGCTGTGATTAAAATAAGCTAATTTAATGCCGCATAATTTGGTTTTTATGTACTTTTCTATTCGCTGTTTCTTTCTCTTTCTCGCACTTAACTGCATTCAGTTCACTTTCGGTGTGCGTTTCTTTTTCTATGCGCGTGCTCTCGAAAGTACCCAAAGATTATTTTAAATTACAGTTTCCGTTTCAAACACACACACACACACACACACACACACTTGAAAAAAAGCCATCGATGCAGTTTCTCTCATTGAAAATACCATCACGAAGTATTTGCCCGAAGATTTATGCAGTAAATTATAGTCTCATAAAAAAACCGTCTAAGTGAATAGCAATACATAGTGTGTTTTAGTGTAACAAATTAGGAGCAATAAATTGTATACATATTTTAACGCTAGTGTAGCGGTCGGGCCACAAATGAGACCCAGACCCATTCAATTTCATGCATATTGTCCGGTGCCACGGCTCACCACCGACGGGGAGACAGAGACACAAAAGGTGAATGGTCACGAAACACCCTCCCAACCAATTACGTGTGCGATGGAGGAATGTAAAAAAAATGTTCTGATTTCTGTTTGTTTATTTTATTCCATTTGAATGGTAATTGAAATGGAGAGATAAAAGAGAAGGAGATTCAATTTTTCGGAATTGAAAATGTTATAAAAATAATTTTGTTCTTTTCAATTTGTTCCTCTCTCTCTCTCCCTCTCTCCCTCTCTCTCTCTCTCTCTCTCGAAATGAACCAAGAATTTGGTTTCGCAAAAGAAGAAGAAAAACACAGAGAGAAAGAGAGCTTACTCCATAAGAGAAGCCATGAAATGTGAACAGGCAACCGTGGGGTAATGTTTCAAATTGGAGGAATAGAGAGAAAATGATTATTTCACTGTGTTATTTATGAAATATATACACAGAAAAAGAAGAAGCAGAGAGAAAAACCTGACAATCGTATTTCGGTTTCCGCATAATATACGGCTTCGCCATGGCTCTTTTTATTCACTCGATTACAGTATGGGCAAACGAAAGACAAATGTGTAGCGAAAAGAAGCAAAAAATCCCTCATTTCCGGCCGTGTGAGGAAAGCCAACCGCCCGTTGTCGACATATTTGGCATTTTCGATGGCAATGCGATGAGTTGGAAAAGAGGATGAATTTTCATCACGTGGATATTTATATAGAAAGCGATATGCACGAAATATGAGATAGACATCTTTTACTACACACATCAAATCATTACCGAATATGTTGCTAAGCTTTTTACCATTCCCATTTTTATTTTGGAAAATCGCATAGCAAAATTTCATCTATTTTCTACATGCCAACAACTCAATTATAATTTTATTTGTCGACGACGATGACGACAATGGCTTTTTATATGTTTCGGTTTAAACAAATTTAGTTAAAAATGAGCAAATTTTATGCAATTTTTATGCAATTTTCCAAAAGACACACACACACACACAACAAAAATGAAAAAAAAACACCACAAGCGAATATATTTACGTTAAATGAAATTTAAAGTTCAGTTCAAATTGCATTCGTTTGTGTAGTGTGTGTGTTTGTTTTTAAGCCCATTTTAAGTTGAGTTTGGGAGCGCATAAAATCGCATTTAGATTTTATTTTGTGTCTAGTCACAATGGCGGTAAATGCAACGGAGTGCACGGTATTGTTTTTTCCTTCTCTTTTCCCCCTTTATTTCTCACTTTCGCAATCGTGCGATCGCTCGCTCGCGAACTTGCCAGTAAACGCTTGAATTTCCACATTGATTACTGCTTGGTCCGAAATTCGTAATCGTCCACACCACAATCGCATTTTGCGAACGGCTACACCAGTGTTAATTGTGTAATGACAACGAGCGTTGAGTTTTTTTTGTTCATGCCGTGGCATTTTCTAATTACGGCCGTTTTGCGGAATGAATCGATTTTCGGTGCGAAGCTAAAGCATATTTCCAATTAGTTTGCACTTCTTTTTTCCCTCTCAAGCGTAGTGCTCTGATATTTAACCTTCAAACCGTGAAACCTATTTTATAAAGTTGTTCGTGAAACCGGTGCCTGAGTGCCCCAAGTGCATTTTTGTATGAAAACTAGAGTGTGATAAAAGATAAACGATTTGTGTCTTGAGCAAAGTTATAGAGCATGTTAAGTACTAAAATATTCTTGCAAACACTATTCCGTTATCTCTTATCAGTTCCGCGAAAAACCGCCAAAAACGCGAAAAACGCGAGATTTTCCATATCATTTTTTACAGAACTGATAAGAGATAAGAGATAAGAGATATTTGTCTCGAACAAAGTTGTATAACAGGTTGAGTTCTACAACATTCTTGAAGACACCAACTTGTTATCTCTTATCAGTTACGCGAAAAACGATAACATAAAAATCGCGTTTTTCGCGGTTTTTCGAGTAACTGATAAGAGATAACAAGTTGGTGTCTTCAGGAATGTTGTAGAAGTCAACTCTTTCTACAGCTTTGCTTAAGACAGATTTTCCCTAACTCTTATCAGTTACGCGAAAAATGACAAGTAAAAAACCCGTATTTTTCGCGGTCTTCTGCGGTTTGTCGCGTATTTTGCGCAACTGATAAGAGATAAGAGATATCTGTCTGGGACACAACTGTAGAACGGGACAAGTACTACAATATTTTCGAAGATTTTATCTCCTTACCTCTTATCAATTATGCGGAAAACCGCGAAAAACGCGATTTTTATGTTATTATTTTTCGCGTAACTGATAAGAGATAACAAGTTAAAGTCTTCGAGAATGTTGTAGAACTCAACCTGTTCTACAACTTTGCTGAAGACAGATATCTCTTATCTCTCATCAGTCCATTAAAAAATTAGATACAAAAAATACGCGTCTTCCGCGTTTTTTGCATATTTCGCGGAACTGATAAGAGATAACGGAATAGTGTTTGTAGAAATATTGTAGAACTTGACATGCTCTATAACTTTGCTCAAGACACAAATCTTTTATCTCTTATCACACTCTAGTTTTCATTCAAAAATGCACTTTGGGCATTCAGGCACCCATTTCACGTATAGCGCATCACACATGCTTATCCACATATGTGATGACGTAGTATGCCTATGTGAGTATGTTAGCGCAATTCATGTAGTCAAAGGTTCAACAAATCGAACCATCTTTGTGTAAATCATTTATGATGAAATATGATAAAGATATAAGTGTTTAAAGTTGGTCTTGGGCTCTCAGTGCCCGATTCACGGTTCTAAGGTTAAAGACGGGAAGAATGAGCGAGTGAAAAAGAGAGGAATGTAGAGTGAGTTTGAATGGGCGAGTGGAAATAGAGATAAAGAATGAGATCGAATGAAAAAAAAAGAGTGCAACAGAAACTCATGCAGAGATAGAGATAGAGAGTGAGTCCAATATGTACAAATAAATCAATTCGAGCGGACACATTAAATAAAAGCGCCTCATTCGGCAAAGTACAAGGCAAGGCAGAAAACACAATTGGAATGACCGATAGTTGTATTATTAAAATGACTGTAATTTCTCGGATTTATAAACATCTCTCTCTCTCTCCCTCTCTCTGTTCTGACACTGGCCACTTTTCGTTTTCAATACCTATTTGCCCGTTCGGTTGTCGAACTATTGTCTGTATTTAAGCGTACATTCAAGCGCTCGTTCGTTTGTTCGCGTTTCACTCGTTTGCCCGGTCCGAGCATTAATTAAAAATTTACGGAGAGTAGCAAGACAGAGAGTGATAGAGAGCATCTTTGTTGATTTATTGGCCGTGGTTCGCATTTGTTGTCTGTTGTATATATTCGGGCTTTTTTGGGTTTTCAATTTTGGTTTGAATCGGTGAGGTCATGTGCATTGTACATTTGTTCATTTATACGGACAACGGCAACAGCAGTAGCAGCCGCCGCCGCAGTAGCAGTAACAGCAAGCACATGAAACAAGTGATGAAAAATTAACAGATTTCTCACACTCATCACGGAAATAAAACAAGATAGAATGAATCGAACAGAACAGACGAGACGGAGAGAAATAAATAAATAACGCACACTACAGACGGAATAAATAAAAATGTGTTGAATATTAATTCTAATTGCAGAGCGCGTGATAACAGCAAGGAACATCAAATAGAATAATAAAAATTAACAACAAAAACATATACACAAGGAATGGAAACATAATTCCAGCCAAAATTTTTCGTTGCCGCTCTTCTCGTCAACTAGAACATCAGCATCGTTAATTCATTAAAAAGCAATAAACATTGATCAAAACAAAACACAACCAAAAAAAAAACAAAAAACTAAAAAAAGAAACAAGAAACAAAAGAAGAAATTACGCATGTTCTTACATCATCAAAAAACAAAATAAATTACCAAAAATTTATAGTAACACATTGTATACAATCAAAGATATATCATACATAATATCGATCCTCAAGCGAATGCCAAAACATACACACATACACACTCACTCACTCACTTCAAAAGCAAATCGATGAGCTAATGCAATTTTACGAGAATTGAAAAGTTTATTTTTTTTCTGTTGTTGTTTTATAAAATGAAGTGAACCGATAAACCGCGGGCTAGAGCGCCAAGTTTTCAACAAGAAACGACAGCGAAAAGCAAATAGAAAACTTGGTCGGGGAAAAATTTGTGTCGATTAAACTTTTTAAGCGAGAGTGAAAGAAAGCGAAGAAAAGGAGTTTTAAATTTTCCCGGACACAAAGGGTCGATCGAAAGAGAGAGAAAGAAAGAGAGAAAAAAAACTATCATCATGGCTGACGATGATATGTCGGAGGAGCAGGAGAACAAAATCAATATAAGACACCGAAACCGAAAAGGTGCACTTAAAAAGAAGAACATCTATAACATCAAGGACCATCGTTTCATTCCTAGATTCTTCAAACAGCCAACATTTTGTTCGCATTGCAAGGATTTTATTTGGTAAGTTTTTCCTCTCTTTTTTGTACATATTCACACGTTCAACGTCTTTTCCCGGGGCCACGAGTCCTTTTTTCCATTCCAATTCAAAACTTATAATTTTAAGCAACCGTCCAAAATGAACTGCATGTGTCTGTGTGAGTGAGTGAGTATGAGAAAAAAGCACGTTTTTTTGTTTTCTTTGAAAACTTTTTCTCATTCACATACGCTCACACTCATACGCCGTTCAACGGAATTTGAACACCCGCGCACCCCATTCCGATGCGACCATCGGGAATGGAATGGAAAGTAAATGAATGACGTCAAATTTATTTGATAACTAATCTAAAAGAGATTTATGAGTTTAACAAAGTGGGCATTACGTGAAGCAACCGAATAGCATTCACCGGATTTGGTTAAAATATACTCGTCGTATCAGTTAAATCACCTACAACCCGATTAATATCGGGTTTTAAGGTCTTTGTTGTTCGCCCGAATAGCGAGCAATTCCATCTCAACTCTCCGTACTCACGATCCGCTCCTCTGTAAATTAAAAGTGTCAATGGTTAATTTTGCTTGCACTAGAGGAGATGAGAAATAAGAGAAAGAGTGGAGAGAGATGAGAAGAAAAATCTCCACAATACTCCATCCCATCCGTTATTTATTCACTCACCTTACTTATTATCCACGCTTAGCCAAAATGAAGTAATGAATGCAGTTTATTTGGATGAAAACACACCACTCATGCTCAACGAACTTTCTACTTAAGCAAGACGAAATGTAGTTAAAATTCGGTCGCATCGAAATTAACTTTATAAAAGCCACTAAATTTTCAAGTAGCAAAACTTTTATTTTGATGTGCTGCCACATAAAATCACAACAAAGTTGTCGGGACTTTGCGAGGAATAATATTTGACGAGAGGGCGCGAAAGAAATGTTGATGAAAGACGAAGTATAATGAAAGAAAGAGAACGAGTAGGAGAAAAGTTGAATGTGGGAGTGAAAGAGAACCAAAGTATACAAGTTTCGCTTACACTCTTACTCTCGACTTGACGATCGCTGCTAATTGTTTTTGTTTTGATTTGATTTAAAGCCATGCTGAGACAAAGCGTCATTCATTGCGTCGAGAAATGTTGCAATGGTAATTGTTTGCACGGCGATTTTCACAAATGGAAATTGTCGCTGCGAATTTAAGTATTTTCGATGATTTTTCTGTTTCTTGTTTTCGTTGGAATTTCTAACCTTTTTATTTGGTTTGTGAGTCTGAAGTTCAGACTCCAAATTATGATTGCATCGAAATTAAATCCTCTGATGAAGTTGATGGCGAATGCGAAATATGCAACTTTGTATCATTTGAGTGGTTTGGAGCGAAAATGTAATACAGAAAAGTTGCACGGAAAAATATCAGATGAAATAGAAAAACTATTGGGTATCAAATAGAGAAGCTATTTGGTGTCAAATAGAGGAGCTATTTGATGTCAAATAGAGGAGCTATTTGGTGTCATATAGGAAAATTTCATATTATTATCAGAGTAATAGGTTTCCACTTCGAATTTTAAGCTAAAAGTCCAAACGATATGTGTTGTTGTGTTAAACGCATTTTTTATTTCAAAGTTCAAAAGGATAAAGTAGAACAAAATTTATGAATATTATAAATAGTACCGCTAAACAGTGACTCAAGATTAACGGTTATTCTGTATCGCATCTGAAGATACAAATCATGCCTTCTTTGGCCATAACGTATATTATTGTTGCTATATTGCATTTTATTTTTATTTTTGGCTTTATAACCATTGTGTGTGTCGTTCGTTTGGTAGCTCTCGAGCCAGAATCTTGGAATTTTACAGCCGGTGCGGATGTTATCCCACAATAAAAATTTACTGTTAACTTAGCAGTCACTGTAACTTAATAGTGAAGTGTCACCGTCACAGTGAGCATTCGAACGAGTATAACGCATACATATGTACACGGAGTAAGCCATTGAACGTGCGTGTTATGTATGCGTAATACTTGTTCGCCGGCTGTAAAATTCCAAGAATTCTGGCTCGAGAGCTACCAAACGAACGACACACACAATGGTTATGAAGCCAAAAATAAAAATAAAATGAAATAAAATGCAATATAGCAACAAAAATATACGTTATGGCCAAAGAAGGCATGATTTGTACCCTTAGATGCGATACAGAATAACCGTTAATCTAGAGTCACTGTTTAGCGGTACTATTTATAATATTCATAAATTTTGTTCTACTTTATCCATTTGAACTTTGAAATAAAAAATGCGTTTAACACAACAATACATATCGTTTGGACTTTTAGCTTAAAATTCGAATTGGAAACCTATTACTCTGATAATAATGTGAAATTTTCCTATATGACACCAAATAACTCCTCTATTTGACACCAAATAGCTCCTCTATTTGACATCAAATAGCTCCTCTATATGACACCAAATAGCTCCTCTATTTGACACCAAATAGCTCTTCTATTCGACACCAAATAGTTTTTCTATTTCATCTGATATTTTTCCGCGCAACTTTTCTGTATTACATTTTCGCTCCAAACCACTCATTTCTTCTTTGTATCAGACTTCATTATCTCTGTATCATTTCTGTTGTATAGATTCCATTATGAGTTAACCCATTGACGACCAAGATTGAACGGATGGGAATTTTGCAATTCCGATTGCAGATTCGTGCTCAGCGACCCCAAAAACCATAATAAAAATGTTATCAAAAATTAATTTTTTTAACTAGAAATATGAAAAAAATGATGGGACATATATGTCCCATTGGTCGGTAACGGTAACTACCTTTGTATGGAAAAAAATATGTCTCCCATAAGAACTACGTGTAAAATCTTTTTCGTTTTTAAAATATTCAGAATTGTTTTGAACCGAAAATGGTTTGAATTGTGCTTTGTTGTGCCCATTTAATCACGAATTTAATGATATTTTTGTAAATTTTTGTGTTTGAACATTCGCGAATAATGGCCAAAATACAGGGAAATACGGGGTATTTATTTACCTTTACCGACCAATGGGACACATATGTCCCATCGCGCTAAACGCAATAAAAAGTGGAAAAAACGTGTTTTCTAAATAAAGTCGATGATTTTTGGAAAGTAATGGACATTTCGCACGTTATTCCAAATTTTCAGCTTTAAAAGTTCCATCGTTAAAATTATATAGCATTTGGCGAAAGTTGAAAAAAAAGTTAAGATTTTTTGACTTTAGAGTGTTCTATCCAATTGCGTTTACAATAAATATCCAATATTATGGTACTTTCTGATAGCTACATTAATTCTCTTTCAAACGAAACCAATTTTACTAAAATTGGTTAAAAAATGTAGTTATTACAGATGAAAAACAAAATGGGACATATGTGTCCCATTGGTCGTCAAAGGGTTAACGTCAGACTCATTTTTTCGTCGCTTCCAAATGCTTAGAATTTTTCAATAAGCAAAATTAAAAGCTGTCGCATAATTAAAACCACCGGAATAAAGTTTGTTGAAAAATTCACGGCGGTTTTTCCCCTCCATGCATGAAATTGATTTAAGCATTCTTTCTTAACCCCCGAACCCCTCATCGTCCCCCCTCTCCTCCACATTCATTCCCACATAGTTTATGATATAAAAACCAACTACTATATATCACTTTGTTTCGAAGTAGAATAGAAGCCACTATATCAATATAATATACCTTGTTGGAGTGCCAGTTGAATGTTATACGTATTGTACGAATTGTAGCGTGTGTACAATCAACAAATTCACATCCATTGGAAAAGAATGCCGAAATAATCGTTGTGTATTGCGTGCCACGTTCGCGAGCTCGTTCTTCATTCTTTTCACATTTATAATCAAATTGTGTATATAATACGATGTGTGTTGATTTTCACAACGATTCTTTGAAGATGTGAATATCGAATAAAGTTCAATTTAAATGGTTGTTCTTTTCCGTTTGATCCGAGTGCGTCTCGACGTGTATTTCTATTGAAAACGATTTCGTTCGCATTAAGAATGGCAAAATGTTGATATAATGTGTTCTGCACTGCACGTTTCCATTGGGAAAACGGAATGAGTGGGTGAAACAGAGAGCGAGAGAGAGATTCGTACAGTTACCATGGAATGACAAAATTGTTTAGACGACATGAGATCACATTCCGCCGTTGAAATGGGCGCGAATGCGGTAGCGCATCTCTCCAACAAAATGTGCCGTTTGCATCTACACTCTAACATTGAGTGTAGGCATTTTGCAAGCACCTGATTTAGTATATTTATAGATCACATCAAAGCCGACTTTATTTTCCGTTCTTCATGATAATTTTTTTTCCTGCTGTGCTGCTGCTGTTACTCTCTGTGCAAATGAATATTAAATGAAATTTAAAAAAAAAATTACACATGCATACACTATAAATTCCAATACTTGTAAACTCTGTTTAATTAAATATGGCAAATGTGCTGTGCGCGGCAGCGGCGGCAGTGATACGCGCGCGAGAGTCAAGGGAGAAGAAACATAAATCGACAAATGTTATCGTTCTGGATAGACGGATAGAGAGAAGAATGGCATAGTTGATTCGCCTTTTTGCTGCCAACAACGACGACAACGACAAGGAATTAAAAAAGAGAGGAAAAAATGCAATTAAATTTTCTGGGACGTGGTATTATGAGTGAAAGGAGTGAGCAACAGCAAAACTGAGAGCTTCAGCAAATGAGGTAGCGGCATCGTGCGCGGAATAAATCATATTTGTGCCGCTAATAGTTGCCAAACACACAGCGGCAGCAAAACGTAGTTTTTTTTTATTGTTTGAACCATTCCGAAGAAGGTATTACGTTCTTTAAGTTCTTTCTTTCTTTCTTTGCCATTTTCTTGTCGTTCTCTCTCTCTCTCTCTCTTTCTCTTCCCCGCTCCCCTCCTCTCTCTTACTTATTTGAAATATATGCGTTTGGGAGAAGTTGCGTAGGAATATTGAAATTAAACGAAATGCTCTTCCGTGCAAAGAAATTTTTTGTGCAATTTGCGAATG